GACATGCCATGCCAAAGAAAAGCCATTCCAGTGTGGCATGTGCCATTACAAAACCACACAATCAGGACATTTGAGAACACACATAATGACACAACATACCCATGAAAAACCTTTGAAATGCTCAATGTGTGACTATAGAACCGCAAGATCTGGCAATCTGAAAACACATGTTATGACTCACCATACAAAAGAGAAGCCTCACAAATGCAAATTCTGTGATTACAGAACTGTTCAATTGGGAACCTTAAAGCGACATGTTATGACCCAACACACAAATGAAAGACCCCACTGCTGTACCAATTGCGATTATAAAACTAACAGAGCTAGTAATCTTAAAACTCATATGATTACCCATCATACTAATCTGAAACCTCATCAATGCTATCTCTGCGAATATAAATCCGCTTTATACGTTCAATTAAAGCGGCATATCAACCGCAAGCATTCACAGGAGGAATTTGTCCTCAATCATGCATTTATAGATGAAAATTCACTTGGTCTGTAATTTAAAATATTTTCTTTTTATTCAGTTAAAAGAATATTGTATTTTCCTTTTAAAAAAATATATTTTCTAGTTAACTTCATCTGTCGTTCATGTATCACAAAATCCATCTGAACAAAGATAACTTTTTATATATTCATCCTTTCTTATAATATTTTATAAGGTGTCTAGGCATTTCTTAATTCATTTCATTTTTAATTTGATCTTTAACATTATGGATATGGGATTATCCTATTTCCAAAGGCACAGTCACCGTGGGACAACTGAAGAAAGAGTGAGGTTTAAGAAATGGATAGCCCACATGACAAAATGAAACGGAAGACCCTCAATAGACAATTCAAACCACTTTACTCACTTTTTCCAAATCTTCAAAACTAGAACTGAGACAAAACTTAATCCATACTTATACTTGCTTAAACCTATGTGGACATATTCTTCACAGATATACGGTATAGCTAAAAAGACCCACTTACACAAACTTCAAACTTTCCAATAAAAAATATTACAACTTATAACTAAAGCACCTTGGTACGTGAGAAACAAAACCTTACATACTGACTTTCTCCTACCTACAGTTGACCAACACATAAAAACTCTTTACAAACCATTTCACAATAATTTACACAGGTATACTAACATACTAATCAGAGATATGGCTTCAGCTGATATGCCCCTCAATGCAAGAAGGAGACTAAAAAGGTGCTGGATGAGAGACTTGCTTCCTTAACAAACCATTGTAATTGATTCACGCCAGGGAAGAGGCACTGCTGGGTGCTATCCTTCCCCATGCCTGACATGTCAGTTCCTTTACTTTAATCAGACCATCTGCTGATTGTTGAAAGTCGTCAACAGGTGCAGATTAATATTGAAAAAAAAAATGGATAGAACAGATATGGATGTATATGAAACACAGGCAAGGGACATGACCCATCCAAATAAGGTTGGTAGGCAAATCAAGTGTACTTGGTGGAGGAGGTTGCTAAATCATGTTGTGAAGAATAAATTCATTAATTATTCATATCCATAATCTTGGTGAACATCAGTTTTAATAGGAACTGAAATTAAATCCCAAGAAGTGTATAGTAATTTTTAAAATTAAAGTAAAACTTATGTTTTAAAGCCCTCTTACATAGGTAGGAATTTGGAACAAAAACTTGCACAGTTAGTCAAAAAAAGTTCTCTCCGTGTTGACCAGTTATACTAGTCTTCAATAAATAATATTAGTTAAAGGTTAGACCTCTTATCTTATCAGTTTTTTTTTTTTAAATTTTATATATAATTTGCTGATTTCACAGCTGTCTTTTATCATTACTTCAGGGATCTTCAAAAAATTTTGATATTATAACAGCTTGAGGATGCCAGCCATCTATAATTAAAATTAATCATAACATTTCTCATGTGAATCATCTAGCTCATCTATGAGAAAAATTCAACCTCATAATAACTTAAAGAGCTAAAAAAAAAAAATAAATAAACAAAACAGCTTGAGTATAACCATAAATTGAAATCATGTGAGATAAAGTAAAACTTGCTTGCAGGTTTGAAGCAGTCATTCAAGATAGAGATAATATAGTGGCATAGATAAATTTTATAAAATGAACATTAAATAAAAAATTTGTTTTTGTACTTATTAACTGCTTACATAAACGAATAAGTAATAAATGTATATACAATTTTTTATTTTGGTCTATTTTAAAAAGAGGTAATAAAGAAAAATACAGGTTTTCTCAGTTCTTAATGGCCAAACTCTGGTGATGATTCTAGACACAATTTCAAACAAAAGAGTATCGAATTCTGAAAGGACATTTCTTTCACGTTACCATAGCTCCGTAGGATAGTTTCAGCTGCTCTTTGCCCCACTTCATCGTTGTCAAGCTACCACCTATAAATCAATTTTAAAGCTGTTAAAAACGAAATCCTCGAGCCCTCTAACCATGTTCCTTTCCTTATTGAAAGTTTTGTGTCATAAGTCCTACGAAAGCATCTCCATTTGGCCTTCCTGGTTAACTTCATTCAATGACCTCGTTTACACAATTTCACGTCAGCAAGTATCCCAACATTTTGAAAATATTGAATCGCCTATTCTTCTGAAGGCGGCAAATCCCATATTCTAAGAAGATCCATAATATGACGAAAATAAATGAAAAAAAAATGAAAAATAAACACAAAGGGGCCACAAACTAAAACAAAATGTAAAATAAACGCAAACGGGCCAAAAACTAAAAATAATGAAAAATAACCACAAACAGAGCCAAAAGTAAAGAATTTAATAAGTGAACGTAATAAGGGAATAACTAAAAACTAAACAATGCAATAACTCAAAGGTTTGGCGGGATAAGAAGAGGGAGGTTATATGATGTGACCTTAGATAAGATAGATAAGAAGTGAGGTTTCAGTCTGGCCCTCTAGACAAAAAGTACCACTTTCAATCTTGACTGCATCCCTTACCAACTTCTACTAATTTGTCTACTTATACTTATCCAAAAATTCATCAAATATAAAATCAAGGAACCTGGTGATTACTTCATATGGAAATAAAAAAATTACCAAATTCACAAAACTACAAAAAGTTTTCAAAAAAGAAATAAGCTTACAGAATTATATTTATTATTTATTATAATGGCACTACGGTCCTGCAAGAACCCGTTCCTCCTCTATTACAGCCAACCAATATCCACGGTCTTTGTACTACTTCCCTCCATCTTCGAACGCCCAGCCGCCTCAGATCGCCCTCAACATCCTCCAGCCATCTGATCCGAGGGCTCCCTCTACTTCTTTTGCCACGCGGCTTCTCATGCAGCATCTTCTTTGGCATTAAGAATTATAGAAAATACTTAATTAATTTTTTTTCAAGTAATTCTAACACAAAATATGTATGAGGCACAATCTCGTGAAAAATCTGTCATCCTTTATCCATAAAATGTTCATTGTGCTTGTAGCTCAAGAAATTACACCCAATTTTTATGATATTTTCCATATCTGTATAAAACATCAATGAAAAAAAATTTATCTTTTTCCAAAAAACATTGATGTGATTTACCATTACCACATAAACTCCATGGCTGTGAAAAAGGTAGGCAAACCAGCAGCAATTAACACAGATTAAACATGCCACAATTTTTAGTAATAATCTTTTTGATATTTATTGTCTACTACTTTATTAATAAATTAAAATTTTTATTGAATAACCAATTAGATTAACAAACTATTATTAATAAAAATTATTTACGCAAATATTGTTCTTTCTTTTCTCTTGATTATTCTTAGGGTAAAAAAAAAATAAATAACATTAACTTCAAATTAATTTTCAAATCTTTGTAAATCGAGTTATTTTTTCTTATTCTTAAATTCTAATAAAACTTATGCAAGTTAAGAATTGTTTTAAATTGATTTTTAAGAAGAAATAAAATAAAAAAAGTGTTGTTAACATTTTTTTAAATTTAAATATTATTATAAATGAAAAAAAAAATATGAGAAAAAACTAAATTATGCCTACTGTTTATAGTGAAATATAGAAGTATTATTAGCATTTACTTTATTTTTCAAGTTTTTGTAATTATTTACTATTGATAATATAGATATTATTAATTAACAACACATTATTTATAAAGAGGCAAAGTACTTTTTTGGATTTTATAAATCTAAAAACCATAATTTTTTTAAAATTACAAATTATTTGAATTCATTATTTAAAAAAATATATAATAATTGTAATAAAGTTATCTTCAGAGGTGGCAATCTCAATCTCTTCCTTCTACCCGCCATGACTCTTGGTAAAAATAATCAAATTATTTCATTTTTTTTTAGAACTATTAATTCAAATTTCAATAGCTTAAATAAACATTAAATTTAGTAATTTAAAGTTTAAAGAATAAATATATTCAACAAATAAAACAAGAACTCACCTTTTAAAAACCTTCAAAAATAACTAAATTTGGCTTAGTAGATTTCTGAATAAAAAAAAAAAAAAAAAAAGTAATTCTTAAAGAGCTATTCCAGGTATGGAAAAGCCCCAAAAATTGATGGAGGGAGGAATGGGTCTAATGTTCCACAAGCCAGAAACTTTCACATGGTTTCTGAACGCGTTAAAAAATAACTGCTATGTGCATGCATAGTTTTTATTTAATGAGGGGGGAAGGAGGAGTTTCCGGACAGGCTAACGTGTGTGCACATCACCGCGCGTTGCCTGGCAACCTGATAACCAAAGTTGGAGACAGTAAAATTACAAGTTCGTATCCCGGGGCCTCTTTTAAATTCTATGCCCTCACTTGGCACATCCCTGGCTTGGCAAAACCTCTGTATAGCCTAAAAAGGCGAGGTAAGAGAGAACAGGAAAAAAAAAGTTTTTAATTAATGTATATCAGAATAAAAAATGTCAATTAAGTCATTTTTAAATCATGTTGTCAAGTTGTCAGTTTCAAAGTTATTTTAACAAACTTTACTACATTATCGCCCTCTCCAATCTAGCTAATCATCATATCATAATAAATATCATATACCTGTGCTAATAAAATCCACATAAAACAAATAAGTTTATTTATATTATAATCTATTAAACAAGAATATATACATACATTCAGCAGCAGTACACTTAAACTTATTATAAATTATAAGCAAAGTAAGTGGAAATGAGATGACAATGCTTTATTTATACGTTATAAAAGTACTTCAATGCTATAGAGTTAAATAACAAATGTACAATTATTATACAGTTGATGGCCTTTGTGGAATCACCGATCCTTCATTTTCCACTCCCAACATCCACTGTAATCATAAAATAACCATAATTATGATCTCGAAAGTTACATGCAAAATTATTTTAACCTTAAAAATTATAATAATAATTCTATTGGCATGAGAATTGCTCAAATCAGGAGCTAAGGACTCTCAAAAAGCCGTTTACAATCTGGAAAGAAAATAGAATGCCAACTGGCTGTTTAACCTGCAGAAATTTTGATTTTGCTTGGTTTATAAATTTGCAGTTGACTTCTTTTTTCACTATTTAATATGTAATAATGACCCAGAGATGGACAAAATCACAACCTACCATAAAGATAGGGAGAACACCATAACTATCATGACTTATTCAGAAAATATGAGAGGAGGAAAAGATATCAGAAACCTGGAACATGGATCTATTCTGTCATAATCTAAAGAAGGACTCCATGCATGCGTAAGATAATTACAGAAACTTGACACTTGTTAATATTAAAACAAAAGCCCGGCACTAGATATAGACTTTTTGAGGGCGTTTAACTGTTGTTGGGAATTCAGGAATCTAATACCTTTTGTGACACTGAGTGACAAGAAACAATAATAATATATATATGAAATGTGGGACTGAATAAATACGCTTTGAATGAATTGACTCACCTGGTTTGTTATTCTTAAATTGTGAGGTCTATAGGAAAACTAAATAAATAAATGACTTTCCACTCCTGTCCAACAAAACAATTTATTTTACAACTGTAATAAGTGAATATATTAAAGTCTTATAACTGTAGGCTTGATATTCCCAGGTAACCTCATTTCTTTCTGTCCCGTCCTAGAGTGCCTTCTCTTCTCTCCAGCGTCCTTCTGCAGCTGCTGCTACCTTACCGGACCTTTTGCCTTCTTCATCGATTGTTTATCGATATAAGATTTTTCAATGAACAATTTGTCCACTGCATAATTGAGTACAATTCACAGTGCAACCTCACATTCCTATATATTCCTTCTCATTCCCTCACAAGTCACATAAAGGAGTAAATACTGGAGGCTATCTACTACAACTTGATCCCATATATTATATGTAGAAGAATATAATACGAAATTGAAGGCATGAACGTGGGAATGAATCACAAAAAAGTTGATTAATTAAATTAAGTAATAAATTGAAAAAACACCATAAATGACTTATGATAGCCAATTAATTTAATACATACCATCGACAACTGATAACCACCTGGCGCTCCACCCAATCCCACTGTTGTGAATGCTAGTCTTGTAGCAAACAGAAACTGATTGGTCTTTTCCTTGAAACTTTGCTGGCTTGTCCTAGATAAATTTTGTATTATTAATATTTGAATGAAACAATAAGATAAAAAAAATTGAGCCTTCATAGCATAAATATTGTTCAAATCCTATAACATTGTATCGATTACGCCATTTAATGCTTTATAACAATGTACAAAAAAAATTTCAGTTATTAGACATTATTTATATTTTATAAATATAGAAAGATAACCAAACAAATAATTATCTTTGTCCTTAATACTTGCTAGGTTATAAGCGATTCTGTATTCAATAATTTTAAACACAATTATAATTTGATTTGAACAATGTGTTAGCTAAGTTAATTAACTGAAAAAATGCTTGAGATGCAACTACTCACCCCACCACAATATCGGCCCCTTTGAACTTTTTCACCACTCGATGTCAAATCAAAGAGCTCCAAATAATCTGAGTCACAAGTGGCTGTAGTACCAAGATCAAATTCTAGAGGAAAAAATTGTATGAATTATACTATTTATATAATTACTTTATTAATAGTGTAAAAGTTGTGTACGTTTATCTCAGTGTGCGTTTTTGTCTAATTGTGGGTATGCTATCTTAAAATTTTAGAGGAATATTCACTACCCAAGAATAATTATTACTAGAATTTTTTTTTTTTTTCAAATTAAGGAGGAAGAATGCAAAGAATAATAAAACATTGAAATTGTGATACTTATTTAAATGGAAATAAAACAAACCATTTCAATTTCAATAAAAAATACATAACACATTATGAATCAAAAATACATCGTTCTTTGAAATGTATTATTTGTTCTCACTTTTTCAGGTTCAATATCCTGATTTTCATGTTTTGTGAGCTTTCTTATTCTACTTTTGAAATAAAGAACTATTATATAACCGATATATTCCACCAACTGATTTTGTGCTAGTCCTCTGAACTAAGAGAACTGTACCTACGAGGTAGGTATATCCAGAAATTCACATTTAAAGAAAGAAAAAGTAATTTATTCATTCATATTGGTTTCAATAATTTTGTTTTAAAAGTTGTATTGAGAATTGTTTTATCACTAATTATATATATTTGACCCATTCTTACGATGAAAAATATTTTGTTGTTACAACCAAATGGTACATTCCTACTCATTTTAAAAAATAGAATAAGCCCAGTAACAGGGAAGAAAACCCCTAAGGCAGGAGGATTGGTGGAAAACAATTTATTGGTTATTTTTATCAATGATTTAAAATTTAAATTATTGTAAAATACAGTCTTACTGAAGGCCTTACTTTTAATATAACCAAAAGCACTTGATGAAACAATTAATGTAACCTTAACACTGATGAAAACCCTCCTTGTAAAGAACTGATTCATTGACAATATCTTGTCTCAGCATTCATCAATCCATATAATACTATTACTCTCTGCTGGCATGGCGAGTTTTATATAGCCTGCTAGACTTTCTAGGAAGAACCTAACCATTCCCTCAAATTTCACAGGTCGGAAACAACAGTCGATTGAAGCAGATATTTCAAATAACTTTACCAATTTTTACAACTTTTAACATCCAAAATCTGTTTAAATCAACAAAAAGACTATTAAAATATGAAATAAGTTGGTAAGTATATAGTCCGTGGTACAGAGCGCTTTTTATCAAATTATTAACATCTGGCTGAAACTTCATAAATAGCTTTATCTCATCATAACCTACAAATATTTTATTTTACTGAATTATCGGAATTGGGACGTTTTCAATCTGGAGGTCAGCAAACTTTCTCTGTTTGATTAGGTACTAAAAGATCGTAAAGACTGATTTGCTTTCCACTTGCATTGTAAGATAACTTGAACACAAAGTCGAGAAAAAAGGTGGCCTTCTAAAATATTGAGCCGTTTAGCCTATAGGAAATTTGGGGGTGTAGGTCATGCCAAATGACTCAATATAAAGGCCACCTTTTTGTTCGAATTTGTGTTCAAATTATCTTACAATTCAATCAAATCAGTATTTACGAGCTTTTAGTGCCTAATTAAATAGAGAAAGTTTGCCGACCACCAGATTGAAAATTCCCCAATTCCGAGAATTTTCGTAAATAAAATATTTTTAGGTTACGATGAGATGAAGCTATTTACAAAGTTTCAGCGAGATATTAATAATTTGATAAAAAGCTGTCTGTACCATGGACTAATATGGAAGAAAGAAAAGGAAGAAAGGAAAGTAATATGAAAAAAAGATAAATGGTAAAAAAATATAATACCCTAGCTCATTTAGAATATCTTTGGACAGTAAGTACCAGTGATTATAGCAGCTTCTTCAATGGTATAGAGCTACAATGTGTAAACTAAAGCACAGAAACTGTATAAACCGCATTTGGCTGACAGAGAGTAATAATGGTACACTGATTGAAAATTGATACTTCCACGATTCCAGGATAGTTGCAATATCCTTTACTGCTATTGCTGAGATCAACTAATTGGCAAAATAAGAAAATTATGTGCAGCAAAAATAAGGACCTTCTTTGAAAAATTGAGGTAAAAATAGTAGATGATGAATGAGATTATGAGAAAGGAACTAAGAGGAGAGATACAAGAGATATTTAGGTGTAATGAAGGGAAGAGAGACAAAGAAGGGATGAGGATTATCTTAAGATAGCATTGAAAAGGCAAAAATCTAACTACTCTTTCTTTAAAAATTGGCACTCATAAATAGTTATCAGTAGATGAGGATACTAAAAAGTAAGTTCATTCACTAAATTAAAATATCAATTGATAATATTAAACTATATTATTGATAATTGATAATAAACAATTGATAATATTAAGATCAATTTCAGGATTCTCTTGATATTGAAACTAGCAGGACGCAGGGCAAGGGAAGAGAAAAGGTTATAATGGATCAAAATGTCTCAAATGTAGAGTATCAAAAATCAAAAAAGTAGGAATGAGTCAGAACTAATAAAATTCTGTACAGACAACGATAAATAAATATGTATTAATTTATTATTGCATCAAAGGATGCATAAAATAAGAAATTTAAACAAAAACCACTCCAGAACATAGGAGAAAAAATATTTATTACATGATCTACAACACTCGTAAATTCTGAAATTGAAGAGAAAAGGTAGGGAAGATCAAGATTCAAATCTTTATTCCTCACACCTGCATCTTCTTTATGGGGTAATAAAACACAACGGGAAGTCAAATAAAAAGAGAAGGAATTATATACAGTAGTGCTGCTTCTCCTTTCATAAATTTCTTATAGTCTTTAACTCTTTAGGGTTATTTAGAATAACTTTCACAAATCACACATTTCTTAAAGTGAAATAAACCAAAAGTTACTTTGAATTAGTAACCATCCTTAAAAACATAAATTAAAAAAGTTTTAGAAGATCTTTTACAAAACAAAATTATATTACAAAAATACTTTTTTAGCATATTTATCAAGAAAAAAACAAACAAAAAGTTACTGAACCATAAAAGAAGATGCTCGGGACACCAGGGGGTGGCACAGTAACTGTCCAACAACAATAAGAATAGTTCCTGAAGTTGCCAGGATACATCGGACTTGTAAATGCTCCGACAACATTATTAAAACTGCCACCACAACCACGACCTATAAAATTAAAAAGGTTTTAATATAACTTTGCACTAATAAGTTACATATTATTTATTCATACAAAAATATTTAAAAACTACTTAAATATTAAATTTAATAAACTAAAAATAAAGGTCATATTGTTTTCTAATTAATAGATAAATATTTCCATGAAATAACATCGGGTCAGATGTAAAAGTAATTAATTATAAATAATGATAATTGGTAATTTCACAATTTTATCAATTATAGAGCATAGATTTGATTCAGCCAAATGTATAGTGGATTGCAAGATAACCTCATCTTTGAAAAAATATGAACTTTTTCACTTCCACTGCTAACACAGCAATAAAAACTTCAAGAATAAATTTCATGCCATAAAGAAAAACAAATTAAATTGTTTTGAATAAAAATATTTTATTTATTTAATCCAATACATAGGAGTTATTTATTTTTCTATTTACAGTTGGTAGATTTAAAATTTTACGACAGCCATACTTTTAATTTTGTTTTGAATTTTACACACTTTAGGTTGCTATTAGACACATATTTTGTCTAAGAAAGGGATGTTACAGACATGGTGCCACCAACTTTAATTAAACTTCTTTTGGTGACACTACTTCGAAAAATATTAGACCCATGTCTAAGGATTCTTCCCAATGTGCTATAGGAGCCAAGAAAAAAAAAATAATGAAATTTTAACATTTTTTATTTTAGTGTTAGCTCTGGGTGGTCACAATACATCTTTATTATTATTATTAAAAATACAATATAGATTCATTATTAAAATAATTTAAAAAATAAGAAATTGGTCTAAGAAAACATGAATATTCTATCATTATATTACTTTCATTCACCTATATACAAATTATATAATAAGGGAAAGTATTGTGATTATGTGTAAATAATAATCCAATATGCTAGTGAGAAATCACATAATAGATATCGATCCCTTTTTATCATAATATATTCAAAATATAAGAAATATTAAGGAAACATGTTTATTTTTTATTAAAAACATAATATTATCAATAAAATCTATTCAACACAAAATTGGTGATGCTTTTTATTTTAGATTGACTGTTGAATTAACAGTTTAAGAAATTAGTAACTCATATTAGAAACATGTAATTAATTTCCTCATTATAAATTATCCATTCAGTTAAACAGTTAGGAATAAGACTCAGCTATCCGTATACTTACACTGACTCACCACTGTACCAACTGGAACCAATTGGATTGGTGCAGAAAGGTAAGATTCTTGGTTTTTAGTTCTCACTTATTAAGAGTAAAATATATTGACAACCAAGAAAATTAAAATATGTCCACAAAATGTGTTTGTTTTTATTAAAAAAATCATAACTTTTTTTCCATAGCATCCGAGATACCCAAGAGATCTCAGAGCTATTTGTCTTTATTTATCTTTTCAATAAGTTCTTGTTTTACCACAAACTATAATATATAAATAACTTAAAAAAATTTAAATGATACATGATTAGTAACCCATTGTATCCTTGTCACTATGAGGCTATCATTAGGATAAGGGTGTAATGTTATCTTGAAACCAATAAAGTTTTGGACCATTCAGGTATAGATGTCAAAATATTTAAGGCCTGATGCCCCATTTCAATCTGTCTACTTTCTAGCATCAGAGGATTGATATATCACTCACTTACAGTTTTATAATATCTATTTTCATTCATTTCTGGATCTATCAATCCTCAGAATCAGAAAAGTGATAAATATAACTGTAATATATATAGAAGATTTTATATTAAAGCTTACCTTGATCAGTTGTAGTGTATGTAACGTCAAAGCCAGAAGACGTTCCAAAAATAGTAGATTCCATTTTCAAAGAATTGCTTTCGGTAAATATTGGTGGAGGAATTTCCCAACCACCACATATTTCATTAATTTTTTTTGTTCCATCAAAAAACTAAAACAAGCAGAATATATATATATATACACTAGATTTAAATAAACTTTTTTTTTTAAATGCAGCAAGATATTAAACAATAACCTGTAATTTATTTTTGCAAACGCCTCCTTCAAAATCTTTGGCAATAGAAATAAAGACAAAATATAAAGAAATAGTTTTATTTCCAAAAGTTGTAATTGTCATAGTACAATTCTCTTTGATTGGTTTGTACACAATTCTTCCACTGGGAGCAGTGTAGTTATGAGTACAACCTGAAAAACAATTTTGTATCAAATAAAGAAAAACAGATTAATTTTTTTTATCGAAAACTAAACTAATATTTTATTCCTCCTCCACACCTTTGCTCACAGGGGAATAGTAATAATTATTATTATAATTAAGAAATGTGATATTTTAAGTTTAGTTGGATAGAATGGCAATTCTTAGGTACCTCCAATCGGTGGAGACAGGAAGGTCGCCAATTCAAAAGATTTACTGCACTGTTTATACTCAGTGGATGCCAAATTTGATGCTCTATAACCTATATCTTATGGATTTATTCTCATAAAGAAATCATTTTCAAGCTTCAGAATAATATATACATATTGATATCCTATAAGTATTGAGAAATATTGGGATGGTGGTCTCATTTGAATCGAGAGAAGCAGACTCAGATGAGTTTTTTATTTCCGTGTGTGAGCCAGCACACAGAAGTGTTTGCTAATACCATCCTCCAGACCATTACCCTTCCTGCTCATCATTGCTGAAAGAGGTGATCATAGAATTCAAGATCTACAAAAAAGTTTATATAAATCATGGTTGAATTTTCCACAGAGAAACCAGGAAATTTAATTTTTTTTTTTAAATTATTCAAAGAATTTGTTGAATAAAAAGCGATGACTAAAGAAATATTCAATTTAAGGGATTTTCAATTGCTTCATAGTAAACTAAACAAAATTCCTTTCAAATGCAAGTAGAGTTTGTCTTTGTTAAAATCATTTAAAGAACACTTTTAAGTCGTTAAACTAAACAAGTTATGTTTTTCATAAAATCATGGATTATTCATCATTTATTAATTTTTTTTTTCAATAAGACTACAGACAACCTACTTTCCAAAAAACTTCCTTGTTAAATGGCCTTTAAGACAACACTAATCATGTTGAGGTTTTGTTATAGAATAAGTTGAGATTCACCTCTGATTCACAAAAAACAATTATATTTTCTAAAAATAGGATATCTGTTGTCCAGCCGGATGGAGATAAAAAAATAACAAATAACCCAGCATTTCATGAAAAACAGAACTTACTTAGTTTAACCACTGAAAAGATTCCTTTGAATGGTTTTAGCAAAGACAAACTCTGCTTGCAGTTAAAGGAAATTTTGTCTGGTAAACTATGAAGGAATCTTCTACATTACCTTAATTAACAAAAAACTCATGACACTTTAAATAAACACAAAACTTCATTTTCTTTTTTTTGTGAGGAATTGGGGCAAGATTTAAATAAATTTTTAAAAAGAGGTATGCAATTACCTCTTTAAATATTTTCCTTTACACCCAGAATACTACTACATCTCAGCTTTTGACAAAATTGGAAAATATAGTTTTAGTACCATGGTTTCAACCAGACCACATGGCCGCTTCCATTAAGGAATGAGCAATGTCTTAAGGTTTTTGAAAATAAAGTATTGTGTAGAATACTCGGACTGCAGAAGGATGTATCAGCTGGAGAATTTAGGCAGTTACACCATGTTGAATTTTGTAAACTGTAGCCGGTTAGTATAATTGAGATTATGCTCAATTCAGGCAAATAAAATTACTGAGCTTAGTAACGAAAGAATACATAAAAAATTATATGGGTTGTGCTGACTGGCAAGGATCCGAGAGGTTGACTAAAGCGACGGTGGGAAGATTGCATTAAGACTGATCTGGCAGGGCTGGGTTTGTAGGGCGCCTGGTAGATGGAAGAAAATAGACATCGATTGGTGGTATTGGCATTAAGCCAGCCTTCAGTTTCACTAATCCTTATTATTATTATTAAATATAATTAATGTTTGGTTGTACTTGCTGTCTTACCCATTGCCAGTTTCTACAAAAAGATTCCGAAGAGGAATCCAAGATTGCTTATAGTTTCCTATGGCCAGATAACAAATTCTTGTTACTTATTGAACTATGAGCAACACCCCCAGCATCCTGCAGTATTTTTTTTTAGTATTATTAATTTTTTAAATCTTTATTTGATATGTAGTTGCAATTTTTGAAAGCTTTTTCTTCAACTTCTGTACTACTTCTATACTGCAGAAAGGCAAGTAGGAAGATACACCTATCTTCAAACATCTCATTCAAATAAATTTAGGATATAGTATGATCTAGATGTGGGAAGGCATAAATTAAACATTAACAAATTAATTTATAATGGAGCATTTCTATCTGCCTATTTCTTGACCAATAACTAAAATAAATTTGTTTAGAGCAAATTTGACCCTAAAATATTATCTATAAGAAGTCCTTTCGGTTTTTCGGGATGAAATAAAACTCAATGTATAATAGGCATAAAATTTATTTTAATCTACAATATATTGTAATATCTCTCTCATATTTTTATATTAATAATATAACCTTGGAAGATCACTTTTACTGTTGGGATACTTCCTGAATAAATAAGAGGTTATTAAATAATAAATACAATTATAAGAGTATCAATATATTAAATTGAAAGTTATAATTATTTTATCTGAGTTGTGGGTTACTGACAATCAGATCAAAAGACTCAGACAGACTAACATTAACTACAAGAAACACTGTTTGATTTTAAAATAAAGTCAAGTATGAATTGGCAATCTAACCTTTTTTCTATAAACACTGTTCTTCTTTCTTGCACTAAATTCATTTGACTTTTAACATGTTCCCATCTTCTGCCAAACCCATCTTCCAAAATGGTGTCACTTTCTTCTACTCAACTCAAGCTCCCTGGAAGATCCTCTCTCTTGTATTTTCAAACAACTAATCTCTCAACCAAACAACAACTTCCAAGATGGTAATACTAGTATTGGTTTTTACCAACTGGAGCCAGTATGCCTTCTCCCATCCCCTCTTCACCCCAGCCAAACACCAACTTCTTGCCAAAACAAAATCCTTTGTCACCTCTCCTCTTTGAGATTTTCCTTTCTGCAGAGTAGTCATTTTTTTTTTCCTTAACTAGTAGAACTAGATTAGCTTGCCTTTTAACTGTTCAACATTAATTTATTAAACCATTTTTACCCACTTCCAATAAAGGTGTAAATTACAATATTTACCATTATTTAATATGATTTTTTCCCATCTTTTCACTAACTGCATAATGCCATGTTCATAGAATGTCTGGAGTTTATTGTTGAAAAACTGATCCAATTAGTTTTTGATGTCCTTTTGGAATTTCTTTCCATTCATGTAGTTCTGCAGAGACCGGAATAAGTTGGAGTCACTTGGAACTAGGTAAGGTCAATAGGGAAGGTGGGGCAAAAGGTCCCATCGAAGGCTCAATAATTTATTGCGAGTGACCAATGAGGTATGGGGCCTACGTTTTGTCAGCGTTGTCTTGTTGGAACACAATATATTTACGATCATTCATAACTCTTCAGGATGTTCTCCAAATTCGATGTTACTATATCTGTTGGAAAGCTGAATTATTGCTCTTCAAAGCTGTATGAATGTTTTTTTTTTATTTAATGCCTACATAAGGAATAAAAAAACAAACACTCCTTACAGGTTTTTATTTTTTATGTCCATTTATAGTTTGTTCACAAAGGTCCTGTTGATGTCATTTTGTGTAGTTTATGTGGCCCTCAATTCCTGCTAAATTTCTTGTAGTTAGCTAAAGCCATATTGAAGTTATGACATTTTTTGTGATTTTTGAAAAAAAAATCATGTGAGTGACCCAAACATTATGCCTGGAAACGTAGCCGAGCTTTGCAAATGGTTTCTATGCTTGTGTGCGACACATTTAGGGCCATAGCAATCTCTCGCACTGATTGGATGGGATTTTGTTCAACAATGGCCTTAACATTGCTTGTTTCAATTTCATGTGCATTGTTTTGACAGGTGCGTTCAGTTAAGGCATCATCCCCATAAACACTGCAAATTTTTCTATGAGCTTCTGCAGCACGCTTACCTTTTTTAAAATAATACAACAAAATATGGCAATAATGAATGATATTTTCTTCCATATTCACAGTGAATAGCAAACACAACACTAAGCTAGTTTTAAGAAGAGTTAACAGATATAGTTATTGATATATTACAAACAGGATAAACAATAAAAAGTATATCATGGTGACATAAAAATAAACAGAAAAACTGAAAGGACCTATTTGCCAACCCAATAATATTGATTAAAATAGTAGAAAGTAAAAAATGAAAGAACATTCTATACATATCATTATTTATTTATTCAAAACAATAATACTCACTAGCATAACTATACTGAATCTTAAAGCCCTTTGAAGTCCTTTGTGAGTCGCTGATGAACCGAAGCATCACTCTACTGGAGAAAGATGAATAATAGTCTAATGGATGACTCTTTCCACAGAACATGTTAATCGCACTTGACTGAGGATCATTCTACAAGCAGAATAGAATCAGTAATATTGTTATTTCTGTGATTAATTAGAAACTTTCATTGATAATGCTTAACCTCGTCTTCAATGGACAGCCATGTGATTTACACAGAACAATAAATTAAGTTGATGGTTAAAAATCTAAATAGGTCATAGTCATAAACATTTATAAAAAAATCTAATTCTTATAAAGGGGTCAATTTTAATTGAAAAAAAAACAAACTAAAATTCGCAATTCAAGTTAGTATAATAAAACAACTTTAAATAAAGAATTTGAACTTCAATCAAATAATTGATAGCAGTGATACATAAAATATTTATTTTTCCAACTGTTCGTGAAATATAAATTATTGAAATTCATTAAATACAACAAAAATATGTAAATAATAAAATAGGTTTAACTATAATATATAAGGGCTATTTTCAGGGATATTTCACATCAAAACCACAATATCCAAAATAAGGTTCAATCAAAAAATATTTTTCAGATTCTGGAAGAAAGCTTTCAATGTCCGAAGAAGATAATGTGAGGTGATAAAATTTAGGGATGGATCATATAGTGAGTAAGAAATACAAAGTCTATATGAACTTAATTAGTTGAAATATTTAAATAAAGCTATAGCTAAAAAATTACCATCTTGTACATGTGGCTTCCTTCAAAAATCAGTCTATGAGTGTCATTGTTGCCAGCCGCATACTTCCAGGGTATTGCCTAAGGTGAATAATTTTAATTATGAGAATAAAATAACTGTAAATTTTCCATTATATTTGATATAATCAACATGATTTTCGTAAATCGAAAACATAATTTTTCAAAACTTAATGGTTTCAGCCAGAAATGAAATAAAGAAACCTCTTAATAACAAAACATCGCTATCAACTATATTAATTGTCTCTATTAAGCTAACTGAGTACGGCACAATGCTTTTATTTGCCAGGCCCGAGTTTGGTACAGCTCTGGCAGCTAATTATACCATTTTGTACAGCTTTGGATCGACCTTGGGATTAGGAGACCTTCCTGGAGTCTACACATTCCCTGTATAGTGCATACTTCTAATTTGGAAGAAAATTAGTCATTGGAACGAAAAATTTGTCCTGTAAACAGGAATCGAGCGTGATTGCAGTCGTATCCCCTCCTTGCACAACCATTGGCCAAAAACAGTAATTCTTCACAAATTACTGAACCCAAGACCATCAATGTGTTATGGTGATAGTTTTTTTAATAAGGATGAAAAACAAAACAGAAAGCTTCTATGAAAAAATGTTAATCTCTACTTTCTTAAGAAATTATGTGGTAGCCTATAAGGACTCACTTTTCCAACAAATGTGAGGTTTGTTTAACAGGATTATCATTATTTTGAAAATAATTCTCTTTATTCATCTACAACAATATTAACATCTTCAAAGTAACCCCCATTAGATATTATATACTTATACCAGATCTCCTTCCACTCCCTGAAACACTTTTGGAACTCTTTCTTTGGGATAGCATATAACTGCCATAACGATGCACTTTTAATCTAACCTATGCTTGAAAATTGACAGCCTTTAAAGGTTCTTTTTTATTTATGAAAAGAGGAAAAAGTCAAATGGGGCCATATCAGATGAATATGGAAATTGAGGCATCATTACAGAGTAGATTTTTGGCAAAAATTCACAAACAAGAAATGAAGTATGTGCAGGTTCATTATCATGATACCTAAACATCCAAAAAATTTCATGGTATGAGCCAATCGATATGCCAACTTCATCAGCAACTTCTCTGATTGTGATTTGGCAATCATTCATAATCATTTCTTTCATATTTTGATCAGTTATTGAATGCATGCTGGCGCATTCAGAACACTTGTTGTCATAAATGTCTTCATATCCATCTTGAAAATGTTTGTGCCACTCGTAAAGCTTTGTTTTACTCATAGAAATTTTCAATATTTCTAAAACTTTGTTACACTTAATTCAGTTTTTATAGCAAAATTTAACACAAATCTCTTGATTCATTTTTCCAAGAAATCAAGTGTTCACTTCCAAGCAACACACATAACCTTCATTACAACTGAAGAGAGAGTAATCTCCCATAAGTATATAGATGGGTTTAAGATATGTTTACCAAAATAAATATGAAAAATTGAATACAACCCACAAAATATAAAATTTCTCATTACTTTTTGAACACACTTCATACATATGACACTATTTTAAAAACTTCACACAATTTTTATTCAATATGAATTATGAATATTTAAAATAATTAGACGAAAATAACAAATCTTAATTTTAATTAATTAATTAAAACTATATATTTTGTAAATAACAAAATATACAACCTACAGGAGGTTAATTGTAAATGATTCGTTTTGGCGGGAAAAACGAATATATATAAGTGAACGGTCGGCTTGATAATCTTGGTCTTCAATGTAGTAAGCCTCTCTTCCCAGATGACTACTACCTCTTGCTTCTGGCCTTTGCCTCAAGTGTTCACAGTGCCACCTCACATTCCTATATATTATATATTCCTTCTCATTCCCTCACACATTGCCATATAAAGGATTAAATACTGGGGGATGTCTACTACAATTTCTGTTATTATTATATAATATAAATTTCTATAAATTAATCTCTGATATTTCTTAGTAAGTAGGTAAAATGTTAGTAAAGTAGGTTTAATTAATATTACATCAAACTTGTACATTTGGCTCATCTAAACCTCAATAATTCAAACTCGATCTTTAGTTTATTTTTCCAGGACCCAATAATTTTGTTTATAACAAACAGAACAATTTTTTTATTGAATTATTCCTCCTTTCCAATTCCGATTATTATTTATGAGTAAATACACACCCAGTCTTTCAGTTGACGGAACAACTAACTCCAATTTCAATATTTTTGATTATTAATTTTAGTGATATTTCTAGTAGAAAAATTTATACCATTATTCACAGTTCTATATATCAACACTACAATCACTTACTCTAGAATCAACAAATTATTGATCCCCGTTACAGAAGTTACATTAAAAAAAAATGAAGAAGTTTTTGTTAGATATTTAGCAAATAGATTTCAATAAAAAGTATTTGTTACAAACCTACTGCATCATTTTTAGAGTATGATACAAATTTTCAGAGGGTTCCTTTTCACATTTCGTAACTTTAATTTTGTCTATATTTCATTTTATCAAGAATTGACTTTATTTTATATATGGAACATAATAACATAGAGTGGGAGGTTTATCAATGCTTCTTAGAGACATCCACTTTCCAAGTACTGAAGATTAGCAGCCAAAATGGCTAGCATAAAAATTTTGTCCCTTCTCTTACTAATTCGTGTGACCATTTGGAGCAAAGTATTGATTTTTTGTACTAAACTTAAACGTATCACTTAACTAACATCAGCTGGTCATCCTTTTTTTTCCAATTTGGTTTCCCTTAAATTAATGCAAATGACAATAGTAGCTAAGTTTAAGAACTTATCCTTGAGCATATTTGAAATGGAAATAGTAGTGCATTTGATGGTTATACAGAGCAAACTGAAGAGAAACCTGGCTTCCGGGTGGATGACTCAATCCTGAGTGATCCCCTGTTTTAAATGAAGTCAAAATGGACTTCAAACAAGTGGCTTGGGGTAAATGGCTAATGGTTATGGATGGCAGAGTTTAAAATAAGCAATAAAAAACAAAGTATGTACAAATAAATGACAGATAAGAAAACACAAATATATTGGATATTAATATTCAATGGGGGTTAACTATCTGTTATATAATGGCTAATACTTAGTTTCCTCATTCTGTTTATTCCATTGCATTTCTACATTTAAACTGTTACTATAAATGAAATAATGTATTATTACTAACAAATTAGAAAATTTCAAACTTATGCGGAGATTTAATCTTCATCTAATAATACAAAAACAGAAGCTCCCTAATATTTTTAGCACTAAGCATTAAGGTAGTATTTATAGACATACAAAACAGATATTCTAACTCATTTCAAAAGAAGTTTAAAATCAGAAAATTTACATACACCTTCATCCATTATTTCCAGCCTATCTCCACTGCAGTCTGAAGTATCTTCAATGTCTAAATCAACAAAGTGTATTTTAATGAACCTGTACTTGGATCCAACCAATAACCAACGACAGTTTATATTGATTGGATAATTGTCTTCATAGTTTGGAGAAGTAAGAAACTTTGGAGTTTCTTCAACATTTACAATTGATGTACCACAAGAAGCTATAAAAAACAAAACATATGTATAAGTTATTTATGTTAAATAGTATATGAGGGTAATTCAAAGATTATACACCATTTAGAGTAATCAAAATTTAAAAAAAATTACTCAATAGGATACAGGCTTTTAATTTTTTTTTTTTTTTTTGGTGGGTGTTAAGAATGGTCTTCTTGTAATGTTAAACTTATTAAATATTTATCAGTAAATATTGTTGTTTCAAATTTCATAAATTAAATTTTTTTCTTGTTAATTATAATTTTGAAATCATGAAAAAATCAGTCCTAATGTTAACTATAAATATTGTTTTCATAAAGTTACTCAATAAAATTACAAAATATTTAAGTATAAGTATCACTACCATACCAAACCATCATTTTAGACATGACAATGAAATTTTATAATTTGAAGCAGCGTACATTCTTTTTTTACTAGGAAACAACAAATACATATGGAATTATGAAGACATTGATAACAGCTTCAGAAATATAGAATTTAAAAATAAATAATTCGAAGTACCTAATTACAGCAAACAGTTAAGGTAATGTTAACTAAAAATATATGAGCCTGTTCTGTTGTCATCTTTCACTTTCAATAACTGCTAGAGGTTTAACTATTAAGAAGATTTCTTAAGTTTCAATTTCCATCATAGGATAGATAATTTCCTCAAACCTTGTACCGAAATTTCGCTTTTAAACTTATTTCCTTGCTGTATTGGCCAGGTTAATTACAACAAAAGCATAAGGCATGTCTTATGTATTTTTTAGTTAGCGTTCAAGAGATATAAACCATTAACTATAAAAGACAAAAGATGGATCTTCATTAATAAGAAAAAGAATGGGATACAAATTAAAATGATGATCTGATACTTTGGACAGTTACAGTAATGACATTTGCAGGGTTAAAATTTTTAGATGACTTACATAATAACAAATATTGTCAAATTTCTTACCAAATACAACAAGAGAAAATTTTTTTGCATACATTAATGTCCAAAGTAATACATGAAGACTTCAGAAAGCATTACTTGGACACGATTATGGTCATTAATCTTTACTCATAAAATTAGTTCATAAAATCTTATAACAATGAAATTAAACATAAATCAATTATTCGCTAACTTAAACATTAATAAGTTGTACTCATTAATTTATTTCTATAAAATACTCAACTTTTAATATATTTAAGAACTCAATTTTTTTTTTTAACAATCTTACCCTTTAATTATTATAAAAAATATTTTTGAATGTATAGACTTACAGAAATGAGGCTTCACACTAATTTTGAATCCTTGAGCCTGGCCAATCCCATCAGATACAAATCTGAAAGCGAGATAATTACTGGATGATGACAGAGACCTTGGAATTAATGTTCCACAATAACGGCCGATCAACTCATTTCTTTCACTTGGACCATCATAGACCTAGGGAAAAAAACTCATAATAGATTCAAAAAGTATTTTTCTTACAAACAAAATGTAATGTTATTTGTAGAATTAAAATAAATAATATGAATGAAATAATAGAACACAATAACAAACTATGGCAGAGGTGGGAAACCTTTTTATTGTTTACCAAAGATTACAAGTTCAAATCCTGGTGCCAATGGTACTTTAACTCTGGCATTAATTCCCCACCCTCTCTTCAGGCCCGGGAAAAACTGCATATAGCCAGGGAAAAAGAAGAAAAATACATATATAAACATACATATATACCTTTTTATTTACAGATTGTTCTAATCTATTAACTTAAATATTTATCAATACCTGGTATATCAATTATGATCGTAAAACATGGATGAGTAAGCAGTGGCTTATTACACTTTCTAATGTGGCCCTTCAAAGATTATATATTTTGACTTTTAAACTTCTTCTTTCTCTTGCACTATTTGGGAATGCTTCCAGCCACCCGTCCCATGCATCCCTGTTACAGGTAAGGTTCCTCATCTCTTCCCTGTTCATCTTCCAATTCGTTCCTAGAGCATGAGGTTCTTGGTCATCCTCTCGGTCTTCTCTCCACCGGTCTCACCTCTAGGGTTTTAACTGGGTCTCTGTGGTGGTCCATACCGCAGAAATGCCCATACCACTTCAGCTGTCTCCTCTTCAGAGTTTTCAGCAAGGGGCAAATCTTTAGCTCCTCCCTGATCCTGTCATTTCGGACACAACCTCTCCGCGTTTTCCCCACAATTCTTTTAAGAAATTTCATCTCAGTGGCAGTAAAACGGCTTTGTAATCTCTCATTTTGGATCCAATCCTCTGCTCCAAAAAAAAAAAAAAGAAGTATCAGTAGGAAGACAGACTTGAACAGATGAAGCTTCACATCCTGTCCCATTTTTTTTTTTTTCAATTAGGGTATTGCTTATTGTATAGTAAATAGAATTTGCTTTTGATATTCTGCTTGAGACGTCCGAATCTACGTTTCCCGATCTATTGATTACCATACACAGATAGGTAAAGTATGTCACCACCTCCATCACCTCTTATTACAGACGATCCGAATATCCTCTTCAGTTCTGCCGACTTGAAGTATTCTGCTTTTTTGGTAATTGATGGTCATTCTCTTACCCTTCAATTCTTCATTCTACTCTGCTACTGTCTGCTGAAGTAGCTCGGGGGAATCTGCAATAAGAACGATGTCATCTGCAAATGGGAGAAACTACAGGAAGCAAGTTCCAATGGCCCATGTGCATTTGTGCTGTGCACCTTTTGCAGATGTAGGCGATCTCATCCATATAGACAATGAAGAGAAGGGGGCTTAGGGAGTCGCCTTGTTTCACTCCTTTTTTTTTCAAAACACTCCTGACTCTTTTCTATTCAGGCATACACCTTTCGGCACTTGGTAAGTCAATTTGATATCCTTTAAAAGCTTTATTCGATGTATTTCGCTTTCAAGGATTCCAAAATTTCATTCTGGAGAACCAAATCTAATGCTGCCTTCAAGTCTAAGAAGGCGAGATAAATATTTTGGTCTCGGTCCCAGGATTTCTCTATTACATTTCTCAGGGTAAAGATGTGATAATTTGTTTGCCTGACGGGTCTAAAAGCACTTTGCTCTAGCAGGTCAGGTTCCACCAGTGGTCTGAATTGGTTCTCTAGAATGAAGGTATATATTTTATAGAGGACTGGAGACAGGTAGATAGGTCTGTAATTAGAGCAATCACTTTGGCTTCCATTCTTGTGTATGGGTATTATAACGATGAACTCCCATTCCTTAGATATTCTTTCATTGTCCCAAACTCTTTGGAAGAACTTTTGAAGAGCTTCTACTAACTCTGGTCTACCAAATTTAATAAATTCTGGGACTATATTGTCTCGGCCTGCAGCTTTTCCTGTCTTCATCTTCGCTCAACCTCCTCTTCTTCTATCGGATCGTTTCCTTGGTCCTCCGGAAAGATTCTTCTTTCAACAAGAACATTGTTTGCTTACTTATTGCTGTTAAACTGTCTTAAGTAATACCTACGCCATAACTCCAGCACTTCTTTTTCCTCTGACACTAACTCCCTCCTCTCATTCTTTATATTCTTAATTGGTTTTGCCTTTCTGCCTCTCAGAGCCTTGATTTTTTGCCAGAAGAGCTTGATATTCTCTCTATGATCAACATCAAGGGAGAGACCAAACTCTTCCCATGCTTCAGCCATAGTTCATCTAAGCCTTCATCAAGTTTAATTCATGCAGCCAATTCCTTAGCTTGTTCTCATAATCCATTTGTTTCCGAATATCCTGCAGCTGTTTTATTTCATTTCTTTCATAAGCTTTTAGCTGAGACTTTTTCATAGAAGGAATTTTGTTATCTGCGATCAACAGCATGTGGTCACTCCCAATTTCCGCACCTCGGATGACTTTGATGTCTGTGAAGAATCTTCTGATTTCCAGGTATACTCTTAAACAATAAGCCCAGCAGGTATAATTAAAATTATAGAAGGGGTGACCGTTGTCCAGGATGCTCAGAATATCTCAAATGTGTTGATACAGGATATAACGAGTAAGGAATATGGTAAAAAGTACATAATGTCAATAATTACCAAACACTGGAATTGTGATATCCCGTAAGGACGCCTAGGCTTGTAGAGGTATTGGCTAACTTACTAAAAGTTAAGTGGATGGGGTATAAACTAAGTGCAAGAAATGTTTAAAGTACTGATGAATGAAAAACCTGTAATCAGATAATTCGCCTAATCTAGCAATTAAGTACCAGATACATCACCAGAAGCAGTGAAAAGATTAATCAGTAGTTTAGTAACATCTTGATAATAATAATTTCATACAGTAAGAAAGTAGAGCATAACCATTTTATTATAGAAATTTACCTCAAGAGCATCACAACAGCGAATCTTTGAAGAATTTCCTTCACAAGGTTTCAAATCCATTTTAAGAAAATCAACGATTAATTTTACATCACTTGGAGCTGTTACCACCCAATGGCAGTCCATATCATCCTCATACTTACCATCTTTGTTAATGTCTGGGTTGGTTATTATTTGTTCACTATCAGCTTTACCTCCTGTTAAAGAATACATTCCACCACAACCTACCTTCTCACCTAAAATAAATAAGAGAAAAATTATTACCATTAATTTACTAAAAAAAATAAGAGAAATAGATTATTAATATTTCTAAATATAAAAATACAGGATAATCTGAGGTAAAGAGCTTAAAAAAACAAATTAAAATGATACTACTAAAAGACAGAGATAAAAATAAAAAAAAATACATAAAAACATGACCTATACTAATTACTCCAATGGACATCACAAAAGGATTCTTGGTTGGATATGGAGAAGAGTTGGAAGGGAATAAAGAACATGTGCTGGTCTAAGCCCAAAAAAGGAAAGAACTCTGATTACAACAGGTCAGTGCAGAAACAAAAAAAAATCTGGTGCACACAAAACACAACTTTCACTTACCGATCTACGATGAATAGAAATTATTTTTTGGCAATGCTGGGCTGTTATAAATTTTTTTGAAGTGCATTTTAAACGGAGCTAAAGCTTAAAGCTTACAGATAACAAGTCATTAAGACTATTATGATTACAAAAAACTCCAATTTCAATATTTTTAAGTGATGTCATTTTAGTGATATTTTTAGTTGAAAAAGTTATCTATGCAGAATATGAGTAAGTTGATTCCAGAGGTGGTGAATGCAGTGTTGAAATATAGAACTGAGAATAAAGGTATAAATTTAGGTACTTATTTCTTATGAAAAATGTTCTTAGGAAAGATACTTTATTAAATATCTGTAGAAAAAAGGTTTTTTTAGTCTCAACAATTAAAAAAGTATATTTTAAATTTATCCAAATTTTCGCCTCTTCAGGGAAACAAACTAGAGACCATACCTCCTAGTTGTCCGATCTTAACGATTTTTTTTTGTTTTTTTAGGAAATTTCATAAACTTTTAAAAAAACATATACAATATCCCCAAAAAAGTGTATACTTTTTGAGTTATTCGGAATTTAATTTTACCATTCCTCGTAACTTTTTTTCCAGCTTCTTTTCGTTGAAGTACGTTATATAGATAAATTTAAAGGGTGTCGAGAAAATGACTTTCGTGAAGTTTCATTGAAATCGGTACATTCGTTTCGGCGCTACAGTCTATAGCTATGCAGGTTTTTCTGCATTTTTTTTCTCCTTTATTAACTTATCAAATTCTTTCAAAAGTTATATTTAGCATTTTTTCATTACTTTGAATAATGTGAAATGATTAACTTTTTAAAATTAACCATAGTAAAGGTACTTTACAGGAAGATGTATATGAACATTGGGCATTTAAGCCCTGTAAAGTAACATCAATGGGGATAAGACCTAATTGATATTAAAGACCACTTAATTATACAATGATACAATGAGTTTAATCAAAATTGTTAGAGCCGTTTTTGAGAAAATTGTGAAAATGTGTTTCAGCGCTGATATAAAGTGGCACTTCCGGTTAGCCGATTTTAAGGAAAAAGTTGACATCACATCTAAGGCATTATACCTATCTTAAATACGTGATATCAGTTTCGTAGGACTTTTCGTTTTTGAGCTAGACTGCTACCATACAAACACACAGACCATTTTTCGGGACTTGGTCATTTCGACTCCGGGTACCTCAAAACGTCTATTTCCGTTGAAAACTCAGATTCAAAAACATCTGGATCGCAATACTTACCCTTACTATATATTACATATATATGAAAGTAAAAATTCCAACGTTATAAAAAAAATCAATTAATTAATGGGAAAAAAAAACTACTGTAATAAATTACTTCTTATCCATTATGGCTTGAAAAACAGTGTTAACACTAAAATTTGAGGAGTTTGTTGGGGGTATGGTAAAATTAAATACTCTATACTACAATAGTATTAAATTTGACTGCACCCCCGACCAACTCCTCAAATTATAATCATGGTTAACTATCTTCACACTATTATTAACACTAAAATATTAGAATAGCAATTCAGAAATAGAAATAAATGTGAATATAAATACAAAATCACGTAAATACAATTAAAGCCTAGCGAAATAAGAGTAAAAATTTATATTTCTCACCATAGCCAAAAGAAACAATGGCATTAAATCCTTTATTCCTTCGTAGGAAACGGGAAAAGAAAGACACAAACATTTTATTTCCTGAGCTTCGGAAAACAGGAAAACTGTTAGAAGATCCACAAACCTTTGCCAACATTGTTCCATTTGTAGTAGCAGAGGATTTAGATGTATCCCAAACCTCAACTCTCTCTGATGAACAATTTGTACTAATATACAGTCGCAGGTTGATAAGTCTAAAACAGAAAAATTGTAATTTTTTTATTGCTTTGTCAGACCATTTACTATTTTACTAAATTAATTTAGGACCTCAAATAATCAAGGAATGCAGCAGCATTCCTCTCAACAAAGGGGGAAAAACAGAATGAAAAATAATAGAAATATGGCTAAACTGTGACTATATTATGTAGACATAACAAGTAAAGATTTCCAGGTGACTGGATCTCTAGAAATATATGGTCTTGGAGCTTGGAATTTTACACAGATATCAATTTAAACAAGGTGAGAAAGTGAATAAACTTTTATTTGAATCCAACTTCAGAGAACCAAGTCAGATTGATGTTAGACTTTGATGAGGCAACAGCCTAAACAACTCATCCAAATACTTGAGAATTGCACTTGCTTAATATGTACTTTTCAGTGTTTTACAGTGCCTTTTGAATCATTTGCATCGACTCAAAGTCTTAAAAAATGTTTAGAAATAAAAACTTTTTTTTTCTTACACATTTTAAGCTACAAAAAATTTCATTAATGGACTAATAATGAAGAAATTAAGCAGAAAGTTTTAGAAAATATCTTGATTTTTTCCTGCATATTTCGGACTACTTTATAGTTCTTATTATAATTTCATATTTCAACGCCAATGAGCATGGTGTAGTGGAGCAGGTCAATGTAATAACTTAGAAATGTAATAATTACTTAATCAAGATTAGAATTTACAAACATTGACTGAACGTAATTACTAATTAAGAAGACAAATTGGCAATAGCTAATGTAAGTTTCACAATTCCAATTGTTGATAACCAGTTCAAACATAAGTGTAATATATATTTTTATTTAGTATAACATGTTTGTGTGACTATCAATGGTTCCTGCACTTGTTGATGGCACCACAGAAAAAAATTACAGAAAAGAGTGCCTTCATTATCAAGTTCAAATAGATTTGTGTATCAACCGAGGCAGCAAAAATTCCATATAATATATCCAATCACAGTAAATTTATTATCATTGCTGTTCAGGCTATCAATCAATATAAAAAATAAATCTAATGTATCCATTGATGTTGACACAATGGTTAAATAGTTGCTACGACAATCAGAAGAGGAACATGCATTCAATTTCAACAGTACGAAAATATATTAATGAATTAATCTTGATGTTCGAGTGGGTTTGTCAAACAATCCATGGTGAAAGCTTGATTATGGTTCTTGCTTGTTTAATTATTAGTACGAACATTACAAAATAACATTGGACTCAGATCCAATAATGCATAGCAACCAGTTCTATAACAACTGTAGCTGTTGATTTATTTTTTACTCCTGACGACACAAAAATATTTCCATCACAAATAAAATAAGAAGACCAAACTAATTTATTAGTGTTCCAGAATGATTTCAGTATACTCTCTAAGGAGCATACTAAAATTCTGTATTAACATCTATTCATATTAAGATGGTTACTTCGAAGTTATGAACATAAAAGGTATAATATCACTGATTGCAAATCTCGTAACTCCAAAAAGATAAATATTGGAGTTATTGTTGAAGCTAACTAATTGTAAACATCATAACTCTAAAATAGTATTTTTTTGTAGATGCTGACAGATTATACTGGTAGGATTTTTTTCTAAAGCCTTGAACTATAAAAAAAACTTACAAATAATTTTAAGAAAATATGTTCCAAAATAGATAATTCTCCTTTAACAATGAAACTCTTAACTCCACTGAATTTATAATAATCAACCCTTCGATTTCCATTAAATAAGGTCCCACAATGTTTTTATTTTTATTAAACATTATGTGTGCAGCATAATAGATTGACTAGGACGCTACATAAGTCAAGAAGTCAAATAATAGTTTCTCTCTCCTAGAAATGACCATTTTGAAATAAAGAGGTTTTGCTTTAAGGTTGCAAGAAGTAAATCTAACTATCTTTGAATGACTCATCTATTTACAATATATAATTCTAACTTCAAAATGAAAAGGACTGTAGAATTTGCAAATTTAAACAAATAAATAAACTATTGGAAATTGGTACGGACAACCATTCAAAATATCTCACTTTAATAGAACAACTCGATCAGGTGGAGCTGTTATATTCCAGATACATTTTGCCTCTACTACCACTTCTTTAATTTTTGGAGAAGAAATGATAGTTTCTTCAGTTATGTGTCCACCACAGCCTGAAAAATAAATTATATGTTTTAATATATTTCAAATATCCAAAAAATTAAATGTTTTCACATCGATTCTTCAATAGAAAAATAAATTTGAAAACTAACATTGATTAAGATAATTTTTTCAAAGAGGATGTTACTTTTTTCTAAATACGCATTATTGACTATACACAGTAAATTATTATTAAAAATATATTATTGACTATTGAAAATTAAATTTGATATTGGTTACATTAATAGATCCATAATATATTAGTTTTCTTAAATAAAATAACACCAGAAATGTAGAAAATTAAAATGTTTATCATATCTGTAGAGTTAATGCATGTTATCAGGCAGCACTGTAGCTGTTGTAAACAAAGGTAGGTTGGTTTGGGTTAGGTTACCCAGACAGTAGTAGTCCTTTGTTCTTGATTGTGTCATGTTTCTGTAGAGGAATAAAGATGTTGTGTATTTGTGGTATGATTGTGTCATGTTTCTGTAGAGGAATAAAGAAGTTGCGTATTTGTGGTATAAAGATTTTAACACAGCTGCATTTGTTTCCTGACATCACATAGTGGCATCGCTTGTGGGGAAAATTAAGGATATTATATCCAATAGTTACGAAAAGTTATAATGGATTGCTGTAATTAATGTAATGTAGTTTAACATGTTTCATAAAATTCAATATGTATTTCAATACATATAATAACAGAAATGGAAGTTCCTATTAAAATAAACATCAGAAAGTCTGAGAACCTTTATTCCCAATTATACTTACTTCCAATATCATAAGCAATACTAAAACCTGAGCTAGTTCGCCACAAATCTGTGGTGAAGTGGATAACCATTTTATTAATAGATGTTTGATCAGGTGGCTTATTTTTATCACAATAACTACCAATACTTTCCAAGTCTTCGTATTCATCAGTTTGAGTCCAGATTTGAACTTTATCAAAAGTACAACCCTGAGGAGAAGCTAAAATCAAAAATTGGTATAAGAACATAAATGAATTTCTATAAAAAAACCACAAATATATTCTACATTTTACTGTACAAACATAGGATGAGAATCTGTAAAAGAAATGGAAAATATTATAAAAGTTTTTAAACATTTTCAGTGACAATTGAATCCATTTTATATATATATACATTTTTTTCCCTTAGCGATTTTTTTGAACAATTACAATATATACATACACATTCATTGCTACTTTTTACCTTTACTGCCAGATAGCATTTTAAGGTAAGAAGAGGATAGGTATGCATGTATGCAACTGTTTGTTGCTTACATTGAGCGAGGAGGGACCGCTCTGCAGTTTTCATCACAATTTCTATCTGATATGGACTACAGGGTCCAGAACCCTTCCCTCGAGTGTCTGAACCCTGTAATCCATACCCGATAGAAATCGTGATCAATCATTAGGCTTATTTTTTTTCCTGATCCTCCATTTTATTCTTCAACTAGATATATATATATATATATATATATATATATATATATATATATAGATAGATAGAATATTTATTGTTAATCAAAATAACATAATAAAGATCTTCAAATATTTAAAAAATAAATACAAATTTACTTTGTTAATCTATAAATATATATTTATATATATATATATATATTTTTTTTTTTGTTTTTTATTATTTATTTAAACAACATGGACTATTGTCCGTCCATTGGGTCATCACCTTTCATGTTTAATTATACTAATTATTATCTTTTATTTTATTTTTCCAAGTTACAAATACATTACATAATAATTATAATTTAAATTTTTTTTTTTTTTTTATTGAAATTTACAAATGTATAATAATAAATACAACTAGTAAATATGAAATAAGTAACTTTACATGTACAACATGAAGAGAAACTACCCATTGGTAGCATCTTCTTTTCAGAAGCCTCGGAGGAAATTTAAATAAAAATAATTTTTCAACTTTTACACATATAAGTACTTAAATCAAGCTCATAGTTGTAAAAGTTTCATTTGGTTTGGAAATTTCGTTTATTTTCTACAGTCCAGTAATCTTTTACATCATAAGTTGCATCGAATAGGGAAGGTTTCTTTTCATTTTTTTGTATAGGATGTGACAGATGTAAATTCCAAGTTTTTGACCTCAGTTCTCAAAGCAGCTGTTGAACATGGAGAAATAAATGTGGCAAGAACAAGGGCTTCCACTGATAAATTTAATTTTAGAGAGCGCAGTTACATATATAGTCATAGTCTGGCCTGAGACGCCCTGGTGTGTACATCGGTGTAATTCGTTCATATAATCTCTCAGTTTACTTCAATTTAATTTTCAGTGCAGTTAAGTTCAGTTTTTTTTTTCTCTACTCTTTTTTAAAAAAACACTATTATTAATCACGCTATTAAGTGTCGGATCTTCACACCAATCGGAGTAAAGAAAGCGCAGCGAGATTGATAGAGTTCTGGGAGCAACGAGCTGGCAGGCGTCTACTAATCCTAACAGCATTAGACCAGCATTAGACGTTGTTTACTACCGTCAACAGTCTTGGTATTTATTTATATTTTAATTGCGAAGTAATTCTCATTAATAAATTTAAAAAATGGTGCAGTGTAATATTTGCAACAACTCTATCGTACGCGAAGATAAGAACAATATACACTGCGTTAAGTGTAAAATAATTTTTCATGGTAGGTGCGTCAACCTTACTGATAAAGACTCCGAAGCATTAAAAATAATTAAAAAAACATGGGTTTGCTCTAACTGCGAACAGGTGAAAAAACAAAATAACGAGCCGTCCCCCTCAGAAATACTTGCGGCAGTAAACCGTTTAGACGCTACCGTGAACGAAGATATAAAAAACATGAAAACAGCACTAGATAAATACGGAGAGCTCAGTTTTGAACTAAACGAAAGACTGACGAAGATTGAAAAACATCTGGAAGGTCAAGCTAAAAAATTTGAGGAGATACTATTAGAAAATAAAGCACTCAAATCCCGAGTGGGCGAATTAGAGGTTCGCTTGAATAACGCAGAGCAAGGACTATTGAGTAGATCACTGGAGATCCGCGGTATACCGGAGCGACCGGGCGAAACGCCCGCTGCTTTGGTGACCAGTATAGGAGCAAGCTTGGGGATCAGGCTTAGTGTGGAGGACCTGGACAACGTACATCGCCGCAGAAGCCGAAAAGATGACTCGCGACCACCGCCTGTTATCGCACGTTTTGTCAGGCAATCAATTAGAGATGACTTAATTACGAAAAGGAAAGTGAAGAGGGATTTCTCCACGCGGGATATCGGTTGGCAGGAAAATGACTGCCACCGAATTTATCTGGGTGAAGAGATGACTCGCACAAACAGACACCTCTATTGGTTAGCCCGGCAGAAGAGAGCGGCGGGAAAAATCAAATATACGTGGTTTGCTTCCGGAAAGGTGCGGTGTCGAAAAGAGGACGGACATAGAGTCATCCTGATAGAACAGGCCTCGGATCTAGATGTATTTGACTGACTACCTAGAAGCCGTCAACCCCTTAGCCTCATTAAAATAGTCTTACTTCTTCTCTTAGTGCTATCTCGACACCGTCACTCACCAATCTATTTATTTTTAAGTACATTCTCTTTATTTATTTTTAATGTTAATATTACTTTTTCTTCATTTAGTTTCATGTACGATAATCGCTTTTCTGTACTTTCTACTCGTTTTGTCTTCTCGCCACCAAACACTGACTGTTTCTCTCCAAATCTACTGTATGTCTAGTTCCCTAATCACATGTCAAGTTAACTCTCAATCACTTTCTGCCCATTATGGCGAATTCCTGCAATACTTTACCCAAAACTTTTATCATATCATAGCAATATCCGAAACCTGGCTTAAACCTTATATTCCATCATCTTCAGTATCCTTGCCGAATTACATCCTGCTCCGTCATGACCGGGTAAACCGGACTGGCGGTGGAGTAGCCATGTTTGTCCACAATAGCCTAAAGACCCGAATCCTCGATTGCTCCCCATCTTCCGATCATCCTCATGTAGAATATCTCTTAGTAGAAATTCTCAGTAATATTTCTCCTATCCTTTACGCCGTGGTATATCGCCCTCCTCTCGTGCCATTTGACCCGTCCTTCGAATCAACTCTATTCAACTTCGTTCCCCTCTATCCCAGAATAATTATCTCCGGTGACCTCAATACCAATTTCCTCTCAAAATCCAATGACAAATCCTATTTAGAAAATCTGTTTTTCTCACTTCACCTATTCATCGTTCCTTTTTCCTCCACCCACCACACCAGCAGATCTGACACTTGGCTAGACTTCTACATCATCGACTCAGCACAAAACCTCCTCTCCGCCTCTCAAGTGCCAGTATCCTTTCTTTCATCTCATGATCTGATACAAATAACGTATAATATCCGCACTCCTCCAATCCATCCTCGAACTATCACTTTCCGCCAACTGGATACCCTTACTCGAGAAAAAATATTACCTGATCTAGTAACATTGGATTTAAATGGAATATATCATTGCTCCTCTGTCGACACCATGGTTGATATTCTCACCACCAATCTTCTCAATATACTCAATACCCACGCTCCTCTCAAAACCTCCACTTTCCGTCATCGTCCTGCTCCTTGGATGTGTCAGGAAATTAAGGATCTGCAGAAGAGACGCGACGCTGCACGCAGACGCTTCAGACGGACTAGGCTTGCAGATGATTATCAAATATTCAGAATGCTTCGCAACACGACACAGACAAGGATCCGACAAGCGAAAGCGAACTACTTTCACGCAGCCCTTTCCTCAGCTCCTGATATCAAATCAAAATGGCTTCTACTTCGTAAGCTTTCCCTCTGTGAACCTTCTAGATCCCCTTCCTCAGTTTTCCCAATATCACCTGATGACCTAAACTCCCACTTTATATCGGTTTCCACCTCTTCGTTACCATCCCCTTCCGGCTTTTCTCCAGAGGTACCTTTTAACGACAATAATTTTTATTTTTCCGACATTTCTCCCACAGACCTTATTACCGTTATAATGAAATCCCGTTCCATTTCCGTAGGCCCAGATGGCATTCCTATCAAACTAATAAAATTATGTCTCCCTGAAATCCTCCCAGCACTCCTTTTCATCTACAATTTCTCCCTGCAGAATTCAATATACCCGACCTCTTGGAAAAAAGCCATTGTCCTTCCTTTAAACAAAAAGCCTAATCCATCCTCTCCCGAAGATTTCCGCCCAATATCAATCCTTTCCAATCTTTCTAAACCCCTAGAAAAGTTAGTGCAATCCCAAGTTTCCAACTTCCTTGAACAATCCAACCAACTCGATCCTCTCCAATCTGGCTTCCGTCCTGGCTACTCTACACAATCTGCTCTGATTAAAATTACTAGTGATATCCAGACTGCAATAGATGACAAAAAACTAACCATTCTTATACTTCTTGATTTCTCTAAAGCTTTCGATTCCATTATCCATTCCATCCTTTTCAACAAACTAAAATCATTATCCTTCTCCAAGAGTTCCATCTCTTGGTTCCAGTCTTTCCTCTCACAACGAACCCAAGCAGTTTCCATACCTAATCAACCTCTATCTGCCTACCTTCCTTTATCCTCAGGAGTTGCACAGGGTTCAAGCATGTCTCCTCTTCTTTTCAGTTCTTATATTAATGACCTAAATGATACAATTATCCATTGTTCCCACCACCTTTATGCCGACGATTCTCAAATCTATTTATCCTTTTCTCCCGCTGAGTTATTGGTGGCATTTGCCAAAATTCAAGAAGATTTAGATCGAATTAATGCCTGGGCCAACTTAAATGGATTAAGGCTAAATGCTGCCAAAACTCAGGCCATTCTCATTGGTTCCAAGCCCCTTCTTAGATCCCACACCAACTTTCCCTCACTCTATCTAAACAACCACCCCATCACCTTCTATCCCTTTGTTAAAAATTTAGGCTTTCTCATAGATCAAACCCTTTCCTGGAATCACCATATCTCTCATATATCCCGCCGTGCAATTTCTACCCTCAAACTATTCCATCACTTCCGCCATCTTCTACCCCAAAATACCCGTAGACTCCTAGTTTCCTCTCTCATCTTTCCCCACTTTGACTACAGCTGTGTGGTGTACGATGGCCTCTCGGTGGAACTGCGTGATAGACTCAAAAGACTTATGAATTGCTTCGTAAGATTTGTAATCGGAACCCCGAGACGCTCCCGTGTCTCCCACCACTACACTGAGTTAGGGTGGCTCTTCCCCTCCTTAAGAAGACAATATTTCCTTGGCACTTTCCTTTATCAAATCATTACCGATCATCGTCCTTCTTATGCCTACAACCTTCTCCAATTTAAGTCCTCAATCCATTCACTCACTACAAGATCCCGACCCTCTGACCTATACATCCCTTCTCATAGATCTGCCTCATTCCAAAATTCCTTTATAGCCCGCTCTGTCAACTTTTGGAATTCCCTCCCGATCAAAATTCGACATGCCCCTTCCCTGTATACATTCAAAAACCTCCTATTCCAATTCCTGTTCCAAAAACAGTCAGATACCAGCTAACGATTAATATTATATATGTATTGTGTAGCAATCATAACACTTGGTAAGAGATAGTACATGCATTTCCTACTATCGACGTAGGAATTTCAATACATACATTTTTTTGTATTTTTTTTTTTATTCAATTATAAGTAACTGTTTATTTTCATATATATATTCAAGTAAAGTTTTTTTTTTTTATGAAATGAACTCATTGTATCTCTTTTTCGTTCTTCATTTCTCAAAGTGTATGTTTATGTTGTTCAACCCTTAAATATAATTTTGTTCATAGTTCAAATGATTCGTTCATAGTTTTAATTGTTTTATTCATAATTTTAAATGCTTTGTACATAGTTGTATCTGTATTGTATATAGCTTGTGCACCTAAGGTTTTCTTTACTTTTTATTTTATTTTATCAATGTTATTTATTGTTTCAACGTTCAGGCCAGTAATATTCTATTATTTTGTACATTATTGTTATTCTGAAGGGACTTAGTCCCAGAATAAAGTTTTTTTTTCTATCTATCTATCTATATAGAAAATCACAACAAAATAGTTTATTGAAGCACATAAACATACTGAACGTAGCTGAACGAAAAGGTGGCGAATGACCATCAAAATAAAGGAACAAGTGTTAGAGTAGTCTAATTAGGTAGCAATCGATGCCAGATACCATCTTTTTTGTAAAACAAATTGAGGTTTTTTTGCTGTAGAAGGTACTGACATGCTAATCATCACTACAGCTATCAGGAAGGAAGGGATGTAAACTGATTGGTCTTCCTCACCTGTCTTAGGGATCACACACAAGTTACCATGTTTTTTCAGAAATATGGAAGAGGCAAAATGCCAGATGTCTTTTACTCAACGGCATCAACATCTGCAAAACAGTCAGCGCATCTCTTTCACTCACACCTTCAGCGCCTGTAATTTCATATTGTACTCAAATACTACTGGAACCGCCGGTTGATCACACGAGGGTGTTGTGAAAATTTTCTGACCGCGATGACAGCACTCGTAAATAAAATAAAGTGAATTTTGTTGTTCATCTGTTAATGTTGACCCACCAAAGTTTCAGCCATTTTGGATGAGCAGTTTTTATGTAACAGTCATTTGCATGAGTTGATGTGAGTGTTTTTGTGAAATTGACAAAATCGAGTATCGAGCTGTCATTAAATATTGTTTTTGAAAGGCAATACGCCTACGCAAATCAAAGATGAGTTGGATTCTGTGTATGGGGACTCTGCACCATCATTTACCACAGTGAAATTTTGGGCAGCTGAATTTAAACGTGGCAGTAAGAGCTTGGGAGATGATGAACGTTCGGGACGTCCAAAAACTGTATCTACCGATGAAAACATTGCCGAACTTCACCAAATGATGTTAGACGACCAATACCTTTCTTCAGTCAGAACAAAACTAATTAAGCTAGAATATAAAAATATGAGTGAAGTTGACACAATTTTGATATTTAAGGAGAAAATCGAGACCACAACACAAATAAGGTTTTTTTTTTTACAAATTCAGATAAAAATTACTTTAAATTTACTGAAAATTTCATGAAATCTAATTAACGGAAGTAAAGGGCCATGCCAGTAAGGTTTGGAGTCGACCAAACAATACAGTATAAATTAATTTTTCGAATAAAAGCTAAAATTTTATAACCCCATAACAATATTGTAATATCCTAACTCCCACTCCATATGATCAGTGCATTCCACATTTCACAGCCATTATATTGTTAACAATTATTTATATTAATTTTAACTAGTAAATGAAATTCAATGAAATTGATACTAAGTAATTTCTATACTGTTCTCCAAATTTTCTCCAAGTTTGGGTCAAATCGAATGTGCCATATTCAAACCATAGGCATATCAAATAACACATTTCCTGATCTGAAAGGGGAAGTATTCTTTTTTTGGAGTATTGGATAGAATTTGATAAAATTGATGCCTATTTCATTTTACGTTTACCAATTCCTAAATTCTCTCCAAATTTGAGCCAAATTGAACTTGCTGTTTCAGAGATATAGACGTATCAAGGAAAACACATTTGCGCATATATAAGAGAAAGCAATGGACAGAATTCAATAAAATTAATCCTACACTATTTTTTCACAAATACCTACATTTAGTCTAACTTTGAACCAAATGGAACGAGCCATTTTTGAAATATTGGCATATCTACAGAAATGCATTTGCTGTTGCGTAAGTGGAAGTGCTAGTTAGAATTTAATAAAATTGATATGGGACCATCTAGACACCAACCTGCACTATTCCTGAAAATTTCATGAAAATCGGATAAACGGTAATAGGTGATATGCCCATTACATTTGACTACAGACAGACACGGAACCAAATTTGATCCTTGATGTCTGAAAAGTAAAATGCAAGTAGAAATTTTCGATTCTGAGCACAAAATTTTTTTCAAACCTCTCGCATGAATACAATGCTTCCCTACCTTCAGTAGTGAGGAAGCAAAAAACTAGTATTAAAGCAACACTCAATTTGCTTGATAATTGAAATTATAAAATTTATGGGGTCACAAGGATAGAAGAGAAGTGTACCCAGCAGTAACTTCCTGTGTATAGCAGATCTTGTGCTTTTATTTGAAGGGAACTACAACTTGACTAATATGGTTTAGTTAATAATTAATTACCTTCTTCCAGAGAAAATGCTTCAAATGTAGCAGTTATAATTTTTTTTGGAGCATATAAAGTGTAATTGCAATCTAGGAAATTATAGTAGTTGTTGGGCCATCCGGGAGAATAGATATGACCAGGGCCTACTAAATTTATCACTCCACCACAGTTAAACTCCCATGTAGCCTTAAATATATACAAAAACATTAATTTATAACACAGGATTATTATGATATCTATAGAAAATAATTTATTAGTATTTTCAAATTATAACTGATCAATTATAATCAAATTTTACTTTAAATTCATACTTGTTAAAATCAATAGTTTAATTGAGTTAAAAAAATAAATAAAAAACGTAACATTTAAATTATAGTATAATTTAAAGTAATGTATCACTTATTTGTATAATATTACACAAATAAGTGATATTTCTACTTTTGAAAGATATGATTAATGGTAATTTAACTAGATTACCTTAAAACCATCTGCCGTGACAGCATTGTCAGTTCTAAAAAATATTCTCATTCTGTTAGAAGTTGAATTCAGCGGTTTAGGAATTTCCCTTCCACAAGCTTTTTTGAGAGTTTTCCACTGGTCATTTACATAATCTGATATCTAATGGGAAGAAAAAGTAAAATTTAATTTAGCTTTCACATGAAAAATATTCCAAAGAAACGTTTCAATGATATAATTACTTCAATGTAGTCCTTTTGGCAATCAGAGCTTTCTTCAATAAAAAATCTACCTTCAAATACAAGACCAATATGCATCCCAGATTCTGCCCTAATTTCCCATTCACATTCAATATTATTTTTATAATTTGAGGGATAACCAGGAGACTGGATTAAACCATTATGCTCATGCATTACACCACCGCATCCTTTAAATTAAAAAATAATCATTAAATATAGTTTATATCATTAAATATTTCAAGTTTTTTTGTAATATATTTCATTTGATAATTTATATTGATCATAAAATTAAAATTGTTAAATATTGTCAGTGCAGAGACCTTTAGCAATGTAAAGTCATAATGTGGCTCTCTCAGAAGAAAAATGGTCTCAGACAGAGCTTGTGGCATGGAAGGTTATTTTCATATGTAAAATCAATTTTATTTAATTTTCGTTGTAATATGTTATTTAATATTAGTTTGTAATAAAACTATTTTCATGCTAGAACTTTCATTATACAGACTCTGTTCCTCCTCCAAATTTCCCCACAAGTTATAATAAAAAAACAACAGATATCTGTAGTCATATACAGGGTCTCAGTTCTTAATGGCAAAACTCTGGGGTTATCCTAGACAAAATTTGTAACAAAATAGTTCATTCGATGCATAGGCTGATTTCGAACAGAAAAGAGTTATAACCAATTTTGTGTTTTTCTTAAGGTGGTCACGTTTTTATTGAATATGAAGGAATTACTCAAACAATTTTCAAGTTAATTAAATTGTAAGTACACCACCATAAAGTAGACAAAGTTTTCTTTGAGAAAACAGTAATTAAATCTACCATGGTCAATGATAAAAAGGGTTTTGATGAGATCTAATAATGCAATGTCTACCATTATCCCAAATTTTTTCACGGGCTAAAGAGATATCCTGCTCGTGTAAGGGTACTGTAACTGCAGCAGTAGAAAGACCCTTTTATCATTGACCTAGTAAATTTAATTACTGTTTTTTCCTAAAAACTTATGTCTATTTATGATGGTGTACTTAAAACACTATATATAATTAAATAATAGAAAAATAATTTTAGCTCTCCCTGATCCTCTCCATCTCTAATCATGATTTGAACATTTTGATGCAAAATTTGTTCTAAAGGGACAACAGTCCCAGAATAATAAAATATATTTTCATTTCATTTCACAATATGTTGACCAAACTTAGTTAAATTAGTGTTATAAGTTGGAATTTTTAAAAAAATACTGGGGTATATCAAGTAATTAAACATTCTTTGGTAAAACTTTAATTTAAGCGACTGGTTCTATAAGCCTGAAGATTGGTAAAAACCCCAAAATTTAAAAAAAAGTTATATGAACAGTTACTTAATTTTTATAATCAATGAAAGAAATTTGCATCACAAAAATAAATTAAATTATGTATTTGTATATTAATTGTATGTATATGTAAATTAAATAGGCCTCCTAGGAAGCTACACAGCATGAATATACAAACATATAAAAAGTCATTTATAAGTCTATTAGAAATGAGAACAAGTTTCGTCAAAATTAATTGAGCTGTTTTAAAGTGGTGATGAATTCTCACCCTACTCATTCACCCAAATAGGGAGCTGATTTACTAAGGAAGAATTATTGATAAGCCTATATGCTTATTTCATCAAACTTTATTTAAATGAATTGTTCAAGTTAAGTAAAGAGTTATGAAGAGGAAATTTAGATCAATTTTCTTGTGAAAATATATTTTAAATTTAAAGCAAAAGCTTTTAAAAATTAAATTTTCTGATCATTTCTAAGTAGTATCTGAAGTAGTAGTTCATAAGAAATATTGTCAAGGAAACAAACCTACGAGTTTCAACCAAATGAACTTGATCCTTTATGAAACAAAGCTACCTTTATCTAAGTTGAAAATTAGATAATTAGATACAAAAAAATACTAGCAATTAATTCTAGTGCACATTATCTTGGATCTACTTTCTTAGGATTAGGAGGAGGGCAAGACAGAAATTTTTTTTTTGGAAAAGCTTATTATTACAATTTATAAATATTTTTGTATGAAATACGAAATATACTTTGAACAAGTTTTGACAATTAATTTTCTCAAATTTTCGGCAAATCTTTTGTGTTGTATTATGTTTTATTTTATTTTAAATTATGTAGGGGAAGCAACGGTCCCCCCACTGTCTGCTGCGTACACCCATGGATCTACTACTAGTTCTTGTGAAATGTCAATGAAAAAAAAAAAGGTAACCATTTGGAGTTAAATAAACAAGTAAAAAATTAATTAAAAAAAAAGAGAATGACATAAACATTTAAATTGAATTAGCTTAAGTTAAAACTGTGAGTAAAAATTAACATGCTACAAATTAAATAAAATGATAAAAAAATAAGAAGATTAAATTAATAATTCATCAATGGTTACTAGATATTTTTAAAAAAATATTACCTGAATCAACTTGAGTTATCTTTAATTGAAATCCACTTTTTTCAACTGATCCATCGGAATGAAATAGCAAGGTAACATAATTAGACTGGGTAATAATGTCAGCTGGAACAATATTACCGCAGTGATGGCTTATAAGAGGTGAGAGAGCAGTATCTCCATTGAATATTTTCAAATAGTCATGATTACAATCTGTTTCAAGATCAAAAGTGTCAAAGTGAATCTGAAAGAAAACAAATAAAAATGATTCATTATATTAAGTACAACATAAGCTGGAGCTGTAAATCATATTTTATCTAATAAACAAATATTTCACTAAGTTGTTTCTCGATATTGATTAATTTTCAGAGATGCAAAAATTCATGGTATTTAAGAATAACAATTTATTAATTAATAAACAAAATGAGCTATTCATTTATATTTATCTTTTTTTAAAGTCTAATAAAATTATTAATAACCTCTTTTTATATTTTTTTACATTGTTTGCTAACACCGTAACTAGTATAGTCAAAAGAAAGGTTTCCTTGAATCTATCATTAAATGAAAACAAAAATATATTATGGAAAAAAGTAATGGAATGTAATTGCATATCCACTTAAGCTAATTGGTAGAGATTTGGAGAAGTTGGTGTCCTTAAATAGGAGAGCTTGACGTTGTAGTTGGGTGCCTTCCATTTCCTAACAAAACTCCAGACTTCTGGAAATACATTAATATAATTTCTGTATGTTCATCTAAATATATGCAAGCAGTTTTCTGACAGTTGACATGTATATATATTCATGAGACGAAATGTACTTCGAAGCGACTTAAACATGTAGAGGAAGGCACATAACTACTTCACAATAGCTTCAATCTTGATAGACTTAAACTTCACTACAACATACTAATGTTCTTCTTCGAAACTCATTAAAATCAAGGCATCCTACAGTCAGAGCCACCAGTCTTCCCCATTTTGTGATGTTGCTCTCCAATTTTTAATCACCAGCAATTATTTGGCACCAACCACTACAAAATCAAGTAAGTTCTTCTGGCTTTTCTGGGTCGGTACTTTCTGATTCTTTCTTCTAAGAGCATTTTGGAAACTTCATCATCACGTCATATAGATATAATCCAATGCTGAATTTCTGGTTTCATATTATTGGTAGGGTTAAACTGCTTAACTTTCCTTTAATTTCTTGACATATTCGAAGTTGAAGTATCTCTGATCTTTACTTTTCTTCCTAAAGTAAAGTTCTACTTTTGGGATTGCAAAGTGTATACTTAATCTTGGATTAGTTGAACACCAATATAACTTTAAGAGCTGCTTCAGAAAGACATTTTTCATGCTGAAAAACTTCTAAACCCTCTGATTCCGGTACATTCCAAAAATCAAATTAAACAGTAAGCATGACAAATAATCATCTTGTCAGAATCTCTAGTAGCTACGAAAGAACTTAGATGTGGCTTGGGACTCTCTCACTGAATTTTGAATAGCTTTCATTATTGTCTAAAAAGGCAGATCAGCTTTGGAGGAATGTCAAGAACAATCAATCCGTTACATACAGTTTCTCTTGAATCATACTATTTTAAGAAACACAGGAGTGCAGAAAGATATGGTGACTATAGGTATTATATTCAGGCACTCTCTTCATCAATGCTTGGACTAAGAAAATTTGGACTGTTGTAGATTTGTCTAATGTAAAGCCTGCTCAAGCAAAATCAGACAGTTGATTATCAATATCAACTATCCCCTATTCAATAAAAGGCAAGAGTTTGTGAAATAGAATAATGGAAAATAGAATAGAATAGAATAGGAAATTGAACTTTATTCTGGGACTAAGTCCCCTTAGAATAACAATGATGAATTAATACAAAAGAAAATATAAATATATTATACACAGATGGTAAGAGGGATATTTCTCTGTTGTGCTCGCAGTTTAGAGGATTTTCTTTTTTTATCTGGAATTTCCAACTCTTTATAACTGTTATTGGTCATTTGATGAGTGGCCTTCTTTTATAAATTTCCCAATTAATAGATTTTCAAATTGGTTCCTGCATTGTTTAATCTATTAATAATAACTTTTCTCCATCTGTGATCAGAGAGCCATCTATGTCTTTACAGGAATTTAATCAGGGCTTAAATGAATTCTATCACGGGATAGAACTTACTGATTTCATTCTGGGCCCAGTAAATCATGATTTCATTTGCTGCTTTCCTTTCCAAAGATCCCTCCTTTTACTGGTGAATCCTTTTTTCAGCCTTTAATATATTACTGTTCTCTTCCATGGACGCTCATGTATGCTTCCTCTAGATCATTGTGATATGTAAGATTCTTCTCAGCCTTAGTCAGTCTGCATTCCAAGTCAAACCAGGATGTCCTTCTGTCAGTTTTTTCAGTCCACTGCTCTCCTTTGTAATGTTGGTCATTATTTCTGTACATAGATCCCATCTTTTGCTAATTGTTACACCAAAGTGTTCAATAAAATATTCTGGTACCTTCTGTCTTTTAGGACAGACAGAGCCATAAATAATATTTGTGGATCCTGAACATGGAGGAACTAAAAATTAAAATATTATAATATACATAAAAAAATAAAATCAAAATATTTTTTTTTAATAATTGAAAATAACAGATTTTAAACATTCTAAAACAATTGAGAAAAGACAATTAATTAATTCATTGACTAAAAATAAATAAATTAGTTATTGAGTACCACTATTTAATATAAACAAAGGCTAAAATGATCTAAGTGATAGATACTGTTTCATAACATACCTTTATAGCTGATCCTGCCAAGACAGATATATGCCAAGCACAGTCAACATTTGATGGATAAGTAGAGACACCAGGACTTTTCACTACTGTCTCTGCAACTCTTTCTTTTTTACCACCGCAGGAGTCAATCTTCCATGAGAGATTGAAGCTGACGTTTTTACTAGCTTGTTTGAAGATTGGTTTCACCATCTTAAAATGTATCAGTAGTTAAAACAAGGAATCATAGGTGGAACTAATTTTTTTGGACATCATAAATAAAAAGTAAATATAAAAACAATAATAATAAAATTAAATAAATAAATAAAATAGCAAACACTAAAATCTATGGGAAAAAAATAATCAATATGTGTGAAAAATCTAGCTCAAATATGAAAAGTTGTAAAATATCTATTTAATGTAGCTATATGCCTGGGATACTACAGCAAATTTTTTGCTAAAATCTACTAACAGGAATCGGCACTTTATATGATCAATTTTAAACATTTTACAATTTTCTCAAAAACAGTTCTAATTAAATTCAATAAATCAGAGTAAAATTAAGTTGACTTTTATATTAGGCAGGTTTCTCATTGAAATAGTCTGATATGCCTTAAATACTGAATTTTCAAAATTTCTCACATTAAAGTACCTTTGGTTTTGTTTATTTGCAATAATTAACTCTTTATTACTTATTTATTTATTTAACATTGATATCAGTAATAAAAAAGGGTTTTACATAAACCATGAAAAAATTTGATAACAATATAAAGGAGAAATAAGGGATAGTAATGTAGAACGGAAGGCACCTGAGCACGCATCCATGGTTAGCCAAAAGGTTAGGATAGACTTTCAAACATAGCACGGACTTAATATGATATATCATAGATGAGTAACGTACGGGTTCCAATAATACTACATACATATACACGAACAATTTTCCTAAATGCTAGCGCTGATATTATTTTATATTTAATTTATTGATTACACCAAAATTAAAATTTTATATATATATATATATATATATATATATATATATATATATATATCAATGTTTAAACAACTGAAATATCAACAACAAAATATAAATAAATATCTTTCTCTATCAAGATCTTCTTTACCGCCGGCTTTATATGATTTTGTGATAAAATTATCTTGTGATTCAAGTGGAAAGAAAATGGGTATTAATGAGTTTTTAGAACCTAATGAAATTAATTAATTTAATGAGAAAACACCCTATTTCTGAGAATTTTGGCGTATAAAAAGTTTTTCAATTACAATAAAATGAAGTAATTTACAAAGTTTTAGGCAGATGTTAATAATATGATAAAAAGGGATCTGCATCACAGACTAATACAACAAGAATAATAATAGCAGTCATAATTATGGTTTTGTAAGTGGTTTTTAGGTTCTCTCAGAATCATAGGTGTTCCAAAATAAAATTATTTCTTCTTTCATGAAATCCGTCTTAATTCATTGACACAAACAGAGCACCCTTTATGGGAGGCCCAAGATTATTTAAAAGTTTTTTGGATAAAATTAGAATTTTTTCTTTATTTTTTTTTAATTGGACAGATCCCACAAATCTAACAGAAAAAAAATGTGAATTTTTTTTAATGATGGAGGAATGTAGACTGTTATAAGAAAAGTTGGTTGGGGCTTGCAATAAATAGAATTACACAAAAAAATATATTTATTTTTTATGCCTAAATTTCAGGCCTGCTTCTTCACAAAAATTTTTATTTATTAATTTATTATTACAGTTGGTATAGTGATTTCAAATATCTTTTTAACATTTTTTTCGTGATTGACTATAAAGAAATAATAAACCACTATATAATAATTTGCAGTGTTTTTTTTTTAACTATAAATAAATATGTGTTGGTTAAAATACTGGATACTATACCTTCACAAGGGAAAAGTCATTTACTTTGGAGACAGTATAAGGCTGATTTGGCTTAGTTTCAGAGCAGAAATGACCATATAGTACATCCATATCTACAGAAAAAGATCAAATAAGTAATTAAATGTGATATGTATATGCTAACTTATTTTAGGAGAATCATAGTGATACTTTTTTTAATCTCAGAAGAAAATTTATGTAATATACAGAGCAATGGAACCGAGTTACAGTCAGAAACACATTATACAACCGTAACACATCATATACTGATGCACTATGATCCAGCTTGGGAGGCGCACCCCCTTCCCCATCCTCCTCCCTGGTAGCTGAAAAAAAACAAAAAAGTTCCAAAAAAAGAAAAGAGAACTATAGGGAAAATTCAGCCTCATAAACGAATTTCCTAATGTAATATGAAAAAAAAATTATCGAGTACAGCTCTAGCGAATTCTGCCAGGGAGCCAGACCTTCCTTGGATGGTGGAAAAAAAAAAAAAAAGTTCCAAAAACAACTATTTAAAGAAAAGCGAAATATAGAAAAAATTCATCCTCATAGAGAAATTTCCTAATATAATATAAAAAAAATTATTATCGTGACCAGCACTAGTGAATTCTGTCAGGGGTTCCTCTAAGACAAATTTTCTTATGTGATCATCATCTCATCCCGAGCTCGACAATACATAACTGGACCTTGGCTGCCTCAAGAGTTTTCCTCCATGTTTCCCTGTCCTCAATAGCCTCCACCAGTTCCTGGTTCCAAGGATTCTGCCATCAGCACTTACTCCATCTTTCCAATCAGTTTCGGTCTGCCCATTTTTCTTTTCTACCCGGCTCCATATATAGCAGCTTCTTTGGGATCAAAGTCTCGTCCATCCTTAAAACTTCGCCATCCCATCTCAGTCTTGCTATCTGGATATATTTTATCACATTTTCACTGGCTTCTTGTATAAGTTGGCTAGTTATTAGTTGCATCAAATTCTCCATTCATCATTCTCCTTAAATGGACCAAATACCTTCCTTTCGAAAACTAATATTTTAAGCAGCTGTTTAATGAAAAGAGAAATATAGGGAAAGTCCATCCTCATAGAAGAATTTTCTAATGTAATATAAAAAAAAATTATTGTTGTGACCAGCACTAGCGAATACTGGATGGTGGTCAAAAAATTTCTAAAAAGTTCCAAAAAACAGCTATTTAAAGAAAAGAGAAATATAGGAAGAATTCATCCTCATAGAGGAATTTTCTAATGTAATATTTAAAAAAATTATCATGATCATTTTTATTAATCTCATGGTTTGCCATACTACATCATCTCACTTGTCTGTGATCAACTTGCGCTCGGACTTTGGCACACAGCTAGATTTCGTGAAACAAAGAATATAATGTAAGAGCAAAAGTTGGCTCGTATAGTGAAATGATGTAGTTTTTGGACTGCCGTGAGATGCGAAGGCTTATGCTCCTGTCGCAGTTTGTACCTACTGACTTCGAACTGAGTCTCGCATGTGAAGTACATGATGGAGGAAAATTAATTCATGAAACTGGTCATAATAATAATTTGTATGTTTCTCATTAAAAAGTGTTGTTCTTTTCTTAAAATAGCTGCTGTTGGGAATGTTTTCATGAAGGAAGGTACTAATTATTTGGTATTCGATTTGATTGAGATCAGATTATGATTAGAATCGGAAATTATTCTGACTTATTTTCTTGGAGAACTCATTTCCAAGCTACAGGGCTATATAGTAATCTGTCTCAGATTTTGACAATGTCGATAAAAATTAGCGTTCATTGACCGTAGTTATCGACCATATCACTTAATCATATTATTAAGTTTAGGTACTCGTTCAACCCACATTTTACGTTCTTTAATTTTGTAAAGAATACATCTTTCGCTTTGATATATTATCTAGTATTAATATATGAAAAAAACAGAACAGATAAATCTGGAGTTTTTGGCTTTATAAGTATTTTCTTGGTGACCCGTGTTAGCCATTTCCTTTACATTTCTAAACCCATATACCCATATATAAACAATGGTTTGATTTTCAGCAGGAAAGTAGAAAATTAAAGTTTTGTGATTTTTTAAGTAAGTCACGTTTTTTGTTGAGTAGGAAGTGATAATTAAAATACTATTTAATTTAAATAATTAACGGTTGCTTAACTGTAAACTAGACAAAATTTACTTTAAACAAAAATAGAGTTTGCTTTTGTTAAAAACATTTAAAGAGGACTTTTGAGCGGCGAAAGTCAGCAAAGGAGTATGAGGAGATGGGGGAACGGGATGGGGTGGGGGACAGAGATGCGCCCCCCCCATCTCCTCTGAGAAAATTCCTTGATCCGCCACTGTATCGATGTATAAAACACATAAGGTTATAAAGAATCATTAAATCTCTGATTTAAATAGAGAAGAGACAACTCATTTTAATCTATCATAAACAACCTATCATATGGTTTGATATTAATATAGATCATATGGAGCTTCATTGGTTCATACAATCACGTCTTTTTCTTCTATAGTACCATTTGAAAGTATCTTCTGCATTGGCTTAATAAGATAGTATATGATATCTTCCTTTTAATCTATCAAGAGCAGGTATAACAAAAAATACCAGAAACTAATAGTTCTATTACTTAATTATTATTGAAATTAAAAAAGCAACACTCATAATATTTCACTTTTATTTAAAGCCTGAACAGAAACACTTGAGCCCATAAACTGTAGGAGAATTATATTAAACACAATTCAACAAATTCTTTAAAGCTATTTCATAATATTAACAACAGTATAATGAAGTTACAATTACTAGCAGCATCTCTATGTTACTGTTTAATATACTGATAAATCAAGGTATAATATATCAATATGTAATCTACAAGGAAAAGTTTCATCGTACCCAGTAATAATAGCATACTATATTAATTGTAAATTTAATTGTTAAAAAATACTTTCCACCAATTGACTTTATTGATATTATTTTCTATGCAACAAATGATTTTTTACTGCTACAAAAATCATTAATATGATATGGACAATATGAAATAAATATACCAACCATTAAATGATATAACTGAAGAAGCATCATAGCAGTTATAATATTCTTTTAATAAAACATTAACATTTCCATTAAAGATGAATGTGATAGTGGATGGAATAGATGGTGCATTATTAATAAATTTCCATTCGCATAAATATGATTCATTCTTTTTTGTGGAGAGTGACAATGAACCATTGTGAGTAGCATCCATTTTACCACCACACACTGTAACATTAGATATAAAACCAATTAAAATTTATTAATTTAATGTTGTAACACTAGATCTAAGAAATTTATCATCTAAAAACTAGTATACCCATATAAATATATTATTTTCTAGGAGCATAATGATTTTAAAATTTTTTTTTGTAATGTTTCTAACGTTTTTGATCTTTTGAGGATAAATGAAAACGGTAAGCTAATAATCTATGATCAGAAAAACCTGTAACAATTCATGAAAACAGCTGAGTTTTCTACTTTGTTTAGGCCAGTCAAATTAGACATGTTACTTTGCAAAAAGTCATGTAATTCAAATTTCTTTTTATTGTTAGGTATGTAGTGAATATAACAAATCCAAGTTTCCACCCTTGAAAGCCTTGTGGGTTTGCTGCAGTGCTCCAGATTAATTCTCACTTTCTCCCAGATATAAACGATTAGAGAATATAATTGATTTATTACAGCTTCACCTGCATTTTTGAAGAGTTCAGCAACAATAGCATCCTCCCCAGGCGCTTTGTTGTTTTAAGCTTTTAAATCGATTCTATGAAGTCTTCCATATCGGATAGCTCTAAATCATTCTCATCATTCATTGTGAAGGTATTTAAAATTAAACTGGGATTCTAATATTATCTGTTAATCCTTTGAAACTAAGAAAACTAAATAAAGCTTAGGGAAATAAAAAATGTGATTGTTAACTTACATGATGGTAAAAAAGAAGTATAACTGGCTTTGAAACCCCTATGAGAACTTTCAGTTGAAGCAGAGTATATTAATAACATCTTATTTCCAGACGATTCATAAATTGTTTTATTAGGCATGTTTCCCGTCAAGGTAGCAATTGGATTTTCATAATTAAAGCCATTGTATATCTATAGAATACCGGAATCATAATTAAATCATTTAATACATAAAAAAAAGAAAAAAACAGGTATTGTATATAATATATCAAATAAACTTATTTCTAATGAAATGAAATACACAAACTAAAATAATAGTAGCCCACAAAGTATGATAAATGTACTACATTTGTATGGCTTGAAACAACTTGCCTATTATCTAGAGAACAGGTATAAACAAATATAATATAAATCATGTAATTGTTTTCATGGATGCCATAGATAAATTATTAAAGATGAGAAGGAATAAGTGATGGTTTACAGTAAGCTGTAGAGGAAAATTCATTAATTCAAGTGGGCTAAGGATTGCAGAACCAGAGGTTATTGTAGTAATAATGAAGGATTTGTCAAAGGAAGAGTTCTATGAAAGGGGTATACTAATCGGTAAGTTGAGTTTTTTTAATTAGGGAGAGTACAGAAAAAAAATGATAATAAAGAAATTAATGGATAAAAAGGGATATTTATTGTTCTAAGGGAAAACTTTATTATTCAAGGAAAAGAAATATAATTTCAAAAAGTACTGCTGTCAGAGAGCACAAAAACTCAACATACCAGTTAGAGACAAGGTACCGCCAAGGAACCCAAAAGCTGAACCTAATAAAAAACTCACCAGCTCTTCAGACTCATTTCTAGATAGCCCTCCATAGTCAAAATGATATAAAATAAGTAAAGATACTAAGCTACCTTGTTTTTACTTGAGCCAAAAAACAAAAAAAATATTAATTCTATAAAGATAGCAGTGTAATCAGGAAATATGGTACATAATCTTAGGATATGAGTTTACCAAAAGTGTATTTTAGTTTATTAAAATCTGTAGAAAGCTGTAGGGACATCAAATTTCAGATTGCATAAACATCTAATTTATATTTAAGTTTTTACTAACATATCTATTTTAAAAATATGATAGCTTTGAGACTATCGTGTCGGGGCGAGGGTCACAGTGTCCTTTTCACTGATTCCCACTAGAGTCAGTTAATTTTCATTTTCTGGCAATCCTACAAAATTTACACTTCAAGAACACAAACATGCATTTTGGTAACAATAGTATTAATAGGATTCATTAAATAGAATCCAACTAAATTTTAAAATAGATATTTAAAATTTTAAATATTTATCTAAATATATTGTATGGACTTACAGTAAGTCTTTGGGGAAGTGAAAAATTGATACTTTTTTCAAAGTCCAAATCCAATATGTTGAGAGTAACTCTTCTATCTTCAGATACGGCTATCTTCCACCTGCAGTGACTAGCCATTGTTCGGGGATAACCAACACTTGATATAGTGCCAGAAGGCAAATTCAAGTTACCTCCACACACTGTTTAGAAAAAAAAAATATTATACATTGTTCAAACACAAAAAAATGAACAGAAAGAAGGTACTTACTTTGAAATATTGTGTGGTACTTTATAATAAAATACCTCTTGTTACTGTAAATTGGTTGTTTAAATGTTACAAAATTAATGATGATTTCATTAGTTTCAGATTGTAAAAATAAGTTTTTTGAACCACAAAATGACATGACTGGAGGTCCTGAAATAATAACAGAATTATACTTCAAAATTTTCATTATAGAAATGATTAAATTTTAAATAATATAACAAAACTAGTTGAAAGAAAGACTAAGAAAATATTAAAAATTTTCAATTTTAAGAGACAAAAACTATCTTGCATCTCTATTCCTTTAAATATATAACTTTGTTATATTATAATGACACTGCTTCCATTCCAGTTTTGTTCTAGATTTGTAACATGACAAAGGAATGATTTCCAGAATAGTTTAAAAACCTGTTATAAATAATATATGCTTGATTGCGATGGTAATTCCAAATGATGATACATTGATAAAAACTCACCTAAACAACTAACTTGAAATAATAAAAAAGTTGTATATTTTAATAATGATATGGATTATTGTTGAACATAGAACTAATTGAAAGAAAAGTTGGTCAGTCCAAAGAAGTATCACTTATCGTGAGTGAGACTTCTGCAGCATTCCTAACCATGTTTCCTTAAATATTTATTTTGTTGTTTATTATTTGATCCGGCCTGGGCAGGTAAAAATTTATTTTGTAGTGGACCAGAATAGGCTTGTTTGTATCTCTAGAATAACTTATCTCCCCCCTCTATATGTGATAAATGGCAAAGTGTAGAGTAATACAAAATTTATTTTGTTATTTATAACACAACAATTAGAAGGAACATACGAGTTAAATTTTGATGTGGTTTTCCTAAACCAACTGGGATAGCCCATTAGTGTCTTCTAGTCTTTCCAGACTCTCAGGTAATAAATTCAATTTTTTTGTTTTGTTTTATAGCTAATTGGAATTTCCAATTAGGAAATGTATTTACTATTATACAGTCAATTCATTAGGAAAATCTGGCAGCTCCCTCTTGGGTGTATGAATAATATATTTTTAAATGATATTGACAAAGATTTTAAACCAAACCTTTGTCATGAAATTCAAGTAGAAGGAAGAGGAGACTGGGTGTACAAAAAAAAAGAACAAGCAGTTTCAAGATGAAAATAACAATAGTGTTTAAGTTGGTAAGAATAAGAGGATTAAAACAGGAAGTCAAAATATTTTTTTACATCTGTTGTGATTAATAATAGTTGGGTGGTGGCATGCTGTAGAACAACCTTAAATGTGAGTGTTATTTTATTATAATAATTGAGTGAAAATTTATTGAAAATAACTTCCGTTAGTTTCAATAAAGTTCTTTCAATGTCCAACAATTTTATTTTCCTTTTTTAGGTGTTCATGTTTTAAATCAATAAACTAGATAAATGAGAACCTTACACCATGTTTTCATTTTGGCACATGTTTTTTAAAAATGTGGCAAGCGCCCTGCATAAAAGTTTTGGGACCTTCATGTAATGTAAGATGTTTGTCAGTTCTAATTATAAGATATTTAAAAATAATTATAAGATTATTACTTATAAAAGAAAAAAATGCATAACATATAAGCCATCTAAATTTAAATTACATAAGGTGAAAAAGAAAATGGGAGGAACTAAATAAATAAAATATGAATGGTTGAGGGTTCAGTAGTAAATATACTATACATAATGTAGTATTTTATTGCCCATGTTTCGCCCAATGTTATTTATTCAAAGACTACATCAATATTGTATAAGAATAGTAAATTTCTAAATAGTATTTTTAATTATTACATTGACGTTTCGACCCACCTTGCAGGTCTTTGTCAGGGCTTGGCATGAGGCACTGCAGGAGGCAGTTGATAGACTGGCTAAAATTAAGAATCATTCACTTTTATCAAAATTTCATTCATAAAATACAATTTCATGAATATAGAACATCTCCTTGGGATGTGGGGAGGTATCAGAAAACAAAGTAGTAATCATTCCAATGAAAACAAAATATAATTTCAAAAAAAAAAACACGTACCTATAAAAGTTATGTTTTCTTTTGTGGCTTCTGATATGGTTACAGTGTCTGTGCTGTTGGTAAAACATGATCCCAAGGATAATATGATGTTTAAACGAAACCTCTTATATGGAGCAGTCACTAGCCTCCACGTACAGTTGAGGTAGCTTTCATATGCATGTGGATATCCAGGTGACATGATTGAACCAGATAGTGAATCATAAAGAGTACCACCACACTTAGCTATAAAAGAAAAAAATATTTTAAATTTATTATTTTAAAATGTTTGCTGATTGTCACTTCAGGAATGAGTTCCTTTACAAGTAATCTGCCACTAGTTGGAGCAGCATACACTAAATGCACTAATTCAATAGAAAGTTACTACAAAAATAAACCTATCCTGAAGAAGAAATATGTTCCAGTTTTCATAACCGTTCCGCAGTCTTTTTCAAATTTCTATAACCTTCTTTTATTTAATGCATATAAATTAAAATGAGATAAACTAGTCCAGTAATAGAAAGATAACTTCTAACAGAGTTGTGTAATGTTAATTGTTTTACTGGTAGAATTATATAAATAAGTGTGTGTTTATGCTGTAAAGAATCACTTTTCTTATAATAAAAATGAAAATAATTTATATAATTGATTCAGTATAATAAGAATAATTACAAATATTTGTTATCAAATAGCTAATAATTATTAATAATGAATTACGAGACCAAAATACATCACAGATCCAAAAGTTATTTATAAATAACTTTATTGTGATAAATAAAATAACTCAACACTTTTATGACTTAAACACTTCTAGGATAAATTTAACACTTATTAATCAGAGAATAATTTGACATTGAATGAATATAATATAAATTAAATATCATTCCTCCATGCAACTCAAGTACTTAATACAACACATTGATTCTAAAATAAAATATAAATAATGCTCTCTACTATTTAAATAATATCAAGACTCCAATCCCCTGTCCAGACAACTCTTGTTCTGTCAGAGAAGAGAGTGTAGTTCCCACCCCATCCAAAGCCTACTTCCAATAGCTCTTGTGGCAGCTTTTTAAGTTAACCAAATGTTAAAGTATTTTTAAATTCCAATGTATTTTGCAAAACATCAGTGTTAATACTTTTTCTTTACATAGTGAGATGTTGATACATCTCTCTCTCTCTCTCTCTCTCTCTCTCTCTATATATATATATATATATATATATATATATATATATATATATATATATATATATATATATATAACAAATAAATACTTACCAGGCGGGATTCAGTAATGGGTTGTCGTGCCAATTATTATTATTATTATTATTAGAGTATTAGAGGACCTGATTGAAGGAATAATTTTGGTGACAACATTTTAAAAATGACAATTTTAAAGTTCTTCAGAAACAATTGATTAAATCCAAATTTACACATAAGAAAAGAATATTTGAAATAATTACCAATAGAAACAATTGCTCTAAAACCATCTTTTGGTTCATTAGTATCAGTAAAATATTTAACATATAGGGCATTTCCTTCAGTAATAGCATAATTTGGAGATTTTAAGCAGTATCGCCCAATCAATGGAGAATGTTCTGTACTACCATCTCTAAGTTCAAGATATTCTTTTAAACACCTAAACATACAAAAACAGATTAAAAGTTAATTTCATAGCTGAATGGTTAAAATATGGATAGAACAATACCTTTATAATTAGTAAAATAGAGCAAGAATAAATATAAATAAAATATTAGAAATCATACTTTCAATAATATGTATGTGTGAGTGAGAGAGGAAGAGACTAGATACACACACTCACTATGCAATTATGTAAGTGTACTACATACTGCGCAATTAACATTTTTCAGATATAATTTTTGGGAGAATGGATTGTTTTAACTGAACTTTTGAATACAAAATTTTAATTAAAATTTTTATAAATCTTTTATTGAGAACAAATTGAGAACAAAAGTTCTAGTTCCAAAAGAGCATACTAACAAACAAAAATTCCAGTCATATTGGATCTAATTATATCGTCAGTTTATAGCAAAAAGCCACTAAGTGCATTTTTGATATAGATCAACTTTCAAGTATGTCTTTGTGAATTTCGACTTTATTTATCAATATAAGACACTGTAAGTGCAAGAAAATGATAAAAACCCTTTTATTTATCAAATAAAGTTACAACAAACGCAGAATTTTCTGATTTCATAAAGGAAAAATTCTTCAAAGTTCTTAATTATTTAAGGTCATGAAATGTCACTTAATGGCTTCCTGTTGTAAACTGATGTTATAACTTTTTAATTTTAAGCCCTTATTTTATGACATTTTAAAAAGTTTTGATTTATCTACAGCAGGGTGTCCTTGGTGAAAATTTCAGTAACTTTGGAGGAGGTATCCAACTAAAAGTGTATTTAAGTGCCGCCTACAATGCATTCGTGTCATAATCTATTGTTGAGATATGTGGTGGGGGAATATTAGGATAGTTAGGAGATGATATAATTTCAGATTTTCAAGGTTTGCTGAACATGATGTCACCTCCACAGTTGATAGATTTCTCTTAAAACTTCATAACTATACCCTGTAATATTTAAATGTGTTTTCAGGAATACCGTGCTTTTTTAAATAAAATCCAAAAAAAAATAAAAATAAAAATAAAAATCCAAATTTCTACATTTCTCAAGTTATTCCACAATATTTGGAATTTTCGATGAATTCACTGTAAGATAGCAACCAATTGGTAACAGAATACCATTTCATAAGGCTATCATAGTAACCAAAGCAAAATAAACAAGCAAAGGCAATAATTTTCAAATATATTTGATAGAGTCTAATGTGATAAATTTAGGAGCTATGAACTTGCAATAAAAAAAAAAAAAAAAAAATTACTTCATTACATATCCTTTGCAAAGTTATTACTCAACTTTGCAAAACTAATCTTATTTTTAAGGGATTTTTTAAATATTAGATACCTGCAACAAAATGAGTACCTCATATTTTTTATCCAGATATGAAGGGATCAAGAATCTGATCAACTGCCCCCAGCCATATATTAATAGACAAGCTCAAAACTTTCGTTGCAGGATACTCTCAGAAAACTATTGGGTTGTCCGAAAAATAATGCAGAATTTTGGCTTAAAAAGAAAAAAAAAGATTTAAAACTGTTTTAGTTAATAAAAATAGCCTCCACTACTATTAATAAATTTCTGCCAATGTTTGAGCAAATTTTCTATTCCCTCGGAATAGAATTTCCTATATTTAGAATTGATAAACTCCAAAAACGTATTTTCTAATTCCCTTTGTCCATTACATTTTTTGTCACGTAAGTAGTAGTCCAGCTGTCTAAGAAAATGATAATCTGTAGACGAAAGATCCGGAGGGTAAGGCGGATGTGGCAGAGTTTCATATCCTAGTCCCAACAGTTTTTGTGATGTCACACGTGAGACATGTAGATGGATGTTATCATGCAACAAAATGTGAAATGAAATGAAATGAAAGTATATTTTATAATTCTGGGACTGTTGTCCCTTCAGAACAAATTATAAGTACAGATTGCATGCCTGTGTGGTCATAAATAAATTATATATTTACAATAAGAGTTCATTAAAAATAAGAATACAGAAGAAGAGATAGAAAAAGACAAGAAAATTATACATATATATAAGAAACTAAAATAACCTAAATAAATTGATGTAGTCTCTGGGTGTACTTAGATAGTTCTCTTAGGTATATTTCATAATCAGTCGGATTGAGAAAGGAGTAGGTGTTTAAAGAGAAGAGGTTTGAAAGAGGAGACTGATTGTGCGTGTCGAAATCAGCAGGGATGTAATTCCTGAGGGAGACGATTTGAATTGCAAAGTATTTTTCAAACGGCACAGTTCGGTGAAGAGGATAGAGGTTGGAAGTACGAGATATAGTGGGACGGGATTGGATGGAGTATTTGAATGTAAGCTGTGAAAAATATTGGAGGGTCGATGAGTTCTAATGATCTGGTGGAAAGGTGGCTAGAAAGCACTGACGGTGATAGGATGGATAGGCCCACTTCAACTCGGTGAAATATTGAGGAATATGCGTATCTTTTGAGATTCCGTAAACAAATCGTAATCTGCAATTCATTAGGCGTTTAATTTTAGCCTCGAAATCTCCTGAGGGTCCATCGTACACCATACAGCTGTAGTCAAAGTGGGAGAAAACAAGAGGTTGACGGGACTTATATGGAAGGAGATAATGTAAACAATTGAACTGTTTTAGGGTGGAAATTGGAGGATACCGGGAAGGATTTGAGGAGTGAGGGGGATCCGATTAAGATGGCTTGTGTCTTCTCGGCGTTCAGAGTGAGCCTGTTGAGGTTTGCCCAAGCACTTATTCTGTTAATATCTTCTTGGAGTTTTAGAATGGCATCTGAGAAATCGGTCAGATTAAAGGAAAGGTAAATTTGAATGTCATCAGCATACAGGTGGTATTGACAGTGCAGGATAGAGGATGGGAGGTCATTTATATAGATGGAGAAAAAGGTGGGGAATAAGGAAGAGCATTGTGGGACGCCTCTGGACAGAGGTAGAGATTCTGATGGGGGAGTTACTAGGAAATACAACATACTGGGAGAGACCGGTAAGGAAGGATCAATTAAGGGAACTAGAAGAAAAAGAGATATTTTTAAGTTTGGTTAGGAGGATGTTGTGGTCTACTGAATCAAAAGCTTTGGAGAAGTCAAGAAGAACTAGGATGGTTAGTTTCTGCTGATCTATGGCTGTGTGAAGGTCTTGGGAAATTTCGATTAGGGCAGACTGAGTAGAATAACCAAGCCTGAAACCGGACTGGTAGGAATTTGGGAGATTATTGTCCTCTAAAAAATTGGGATAGTAGGGATTGGACTAGTCATTCTAAAGGTTCTGAGAGGTTTGAAAGAAGGGAAATCATTAAGAGCTGACGGGTTTGAGGTCTTCTTCAAGGCCCCTTCCGATTGACAAAGATCGCTTCATTGTTGCCAGTTTTTAATGCATTGCATTCATTTGGTTACAATACGATTCGGCAATAAAGTTTCTCCAGGATTTAAGATAAGCTGTAGTGTATCAAATCAAATGAAGCCCACCAAACAATAACTTTTTTTGATGAGCTGGGGCCTTTGTCGAGCCACTGTCCAGAACATCTACTGTTATCGTAAAGTACCCACTTTTCATCAAAAGTAACAATTCTGAACAGAAAAGGGTCATTTTTGTTTCAGCAAAGAAGTGTAGCACAAACTTTATAACCCTGTTTTTTTTTTGTGTGTGGGACCCAACTTTCAAGCTTTTTTACGTTTCCAATCGCTCTGAAGTGGTCATCAACGGAAGATTTGCTAAGATGAAGTTCCCTTCAAGTTCTCGAACAGTTGTTCTGATGTTTTCTTCAACCTAAGCCCACAGAATATCATCATCAAGAGAAGAAGTCCCCTTCCATGACCTTTGTTTTCAAGGCTGAAGTTTCCCTCCCAAAATTTTTTGAACCACCGTTGAACAGTGTACTCATTAATACTGCTCTTGCCTCGCACTTGATTAATGTTTCTGGCCATCTGGGCCCCATTATGGCCGAGTTTAAACTCGCAAAACAAAATTATACAAAAATAAATCATGCATTGACATCTGTATGAAAGACTGAACTATTTCTAAGCGCAAAATGCTACAGAGGTAAACAAACATTATCATATGGAAGTGGATTAATAAATGTTGACACTCATATAAATGAATATAACAGTTTGTTATATAGAAGGGTATTTTAAAGAGAACTCAAAATCCTGCATTATTTTCCAGACAACCAATAATAATTTTTATCAAGACTGCCTCGTGAAGAGATATTTTCCAACAAATTGCTTGCTATCTAACAGGAAATTCATCATTGACTGAAAATGATGACAAGAGTAGAAAAATGTTCAGTCACATAAGAAAATGTGTGTATGACCGTTGATATGAAGTGGCACTTCCAGTTAGCCGATTTTAAGAAAAAGTTGCTGTAACATCCCAGGTGTATACCTATCTTAAATACGTAATTTCAGTTTCATTTTTGAGCTAGAGTGTTCCAAGACTTGGCTATTTGGACTCAGAGGGCCTCAAAATGTGTATTGCTGTTGAAAACTCAGATTAGAAAATCTACACCATCGCAATAATTTCCTTTAGTATATATTACATACTTAGTTATGTGAAAGTAAAATTAAAGCTTTTTAAGGAAGACTCTTCAAAATTTCGCAAACCAACAAAATGTTGATGTATGAATGTGTGGTTGGTATTTTCAGTAGTGATAAGTGAGAAAACTTGAAATTTAATGAATCTAATTTAATTACCCTAGCGAAGGAGTCATATCAAATCTGTCTGTAATATCAAAATTAATACTCTCTCCAGAAGAAGCATATACTTTCCAAATGCATTCTGTATGTGGTGGAGGAATATTAGGATAGTTAGGAGTGGATATCATTTCAGATTTCCAAGCTTTGCTGAGCATGATGTCACCTCCACAGTTGATAGATTTCTCTTCAAACTTCATAACTATACCCTGTAAAAAGTATATGAGTAAAACTTTAAAACATAATGTAATTATGTATATCGAGAAATTAAAAAAAAAATTCCATTTCATGATTTTTTTTTTGCGATCCTAATAAATATACTTAACATTTTAAAAAGTTGTTTAAATAAATGGTAAATATTTTATATTACTTTTTTATGGGTATTTAAATAACTCTAATATGGGTTATATAATTTTTAAATTATAAATAAGCCATTTATCGATAAGATTAGGGTTATTGTAGGAGCGTCCAATCGTACAACAGATGTTCAATTTCTCGCTGAGACTGATTCATAAAATTAGCATAGCCTAATCTATAATTTATCTAACAATCTATAATTTTTTTTTTTTAATTTATTATATGTAAGAAAATAAAAAAAATATTGGGTATATAATTTATTTTTGGTTCTTTATAGGAAAAATTTATTACACTCATAAGAATACTAATAACTGCAAATAATTCTGAAGAGCAGGGAGCTACTGCGAACATTATAAATGAACAGCAAAAGGCCATCTCTACATTTTTACAAAGAGTTAAATTCAGATTTTTACTTAAGAAGATAACAAATAATCAGGATATACAGTATTTGTATGGATAATTAGGCTTGCTGATGTTTATGCATATAAAGAAAGTATATTATTTGTCATTTTCTTATTTTTAACAGTCAACTATACATCCAATCCATCTATTGATTTTTTAAAAATTCTATCACTAGTACAAAAAGAAAAAGAAAAATTTTACCTCGGATGCTCTGCTTTGATAATAAATATATAATCTATTGCTAGTAGTTTCAGGAATGTTGATATCTTTTACAGACGTTCCACAATATTTACCAGCACCAAGAAGTGGTGAATCTGCTCTCCCACCATCTCTTAGCTGCATGAAATTAAATTGAGATTAATTGTTATATTGAAGTAAAATAATACAGGCCAAATAAATTCCATTAATATTTAATAAAGTTAAATGCAAATATTGAAATGAATAAACCGGAAATAACTTATCATTATCATAGAGTCAATAAATTGAGTACAGTTCTTTATTAATTACAATTGCTAATAACACTTAATTACAAACATTATTTTGCAGTTACCCTGCCAACAGAAACATCTCAATAAAAACAATTCCATAGATCCATACTTTTTTTCTTTCTTTTTTTATTTTCCTCATCTTTTAGGCTGCAGGGAGTTATTCCCAGGTCAGGTATGCGGACGGAGGATTAATCCGTTAAAAGCCTCCCGGGATGCGAACTCATACTTCAATTCCACTCACTGCATATCAAAAACTTTCTCACAACATACTCAAGATTCATTCGAAGCCATACACACAATACCTCTCTAGGCAACTCAAATTGAAACAACTAGCGCTGCAAACCATAAATGAAGAATTTTTAGAAGAGCACTGGATTTAGCTCTATACTGATGGATCTTCAATTAAAGAGGGCAGAAAACAGAAGTGGAATATTATTTCCGAATTTTTCAAGGACATTCAACTTTAGATATCCTCCATAGCAACTATAAGCAGTGCATGCTGCAGCTGGGAAGGATTGCTTCACTTTCAATAGCATTTTTTTTATTAACTTGTAGGCCACTATTCACAATCTATAACTCAAAAGCCAAACAGATTGTTAGAAAACAGTTGAGAGCAGAAAATAACTAGAAAGCCTGGGATATCGTGGATGGAAAATCATATTCCAGTGGGTACCCATCACATCAACATATTGTCAGCATCATGTAAAACTAACGAATGTGAGCCTGTTTAATGTTGCACATTTTTACTTTAACATGGTGCCGATGATATGATGAAACGAGGAAGCTGACAAATTAGTAAATTTGGGAACAGCTTTACCTTAGCCTAGTTCATTCATTCTAGCCTAGTTCATTCATTCATCCTAGACAATTCATTGCAGGCCAGACGACCATGAATAAAAGAAATTTGTCAATAGCCTGGGTTGATTACAAAAAAGCATTTGACTCAGTTCCTCATAGTTGGCTTTTAAAAGTTCTGGATTTATATAAAATCCATCCTTATATTAAAGAACTTCTGAGGAAATTGATGGACAACTGGAAAACAAGACTGAGAATAGGAGATAAGCAATCACCTGAATACATTACCATTTCAAGAGGTATATACCAGGGAGACTGCCTCAGCCCCCTTTGGTTTTGTCTTGCGATGGCTCCATTGTCAATTTTATTAAATCGTGAAGAAAACGGATACAAAGTAAAATTTAATGAATTAAGTGCAATGATCAGTCATAGCTTTTATATGGGCGATTTAAAACTCTACGCAAAGAATAAATCCCAGCTCCAGTCTATGCTAAAGACAGTTAGCCAATTTAGTGATTCCATACAGATGTCCCTTGGGACTGAGAAATGCGCAGTTCTTCATGTTATAAAAGGAAAACCAAATAATTCCGAAAACTTGTTTAATGAAGAATATCATATTAAGAGCCTTCAGAAAGAAGATATGTATAAATATCTAGGGATAGAACAGCATTTAAAAATAGCTAGAAAGGATGTAAAATGTAAATTGATAGCTTCATTTAAAAAAAGACTAAAGATCATCCTTAGAACACATCTTTCTTCAGGTTTAATGATAAAAGCTATAAATACGTGGGTTATTCCTTCTTTATCTTACAGCTTTGGAATTCTACAATGGTCCATAACGTCACTCCAGGAATTGGATAGGTTAATAAGAACAAGTATGACGGGTTCCAGAATGCATCACCCGACTGCATCTATGGCAAGGCTTTACCTGCCAAGAAAGGAAGGAGGGAGAGGTCTCACAAATATTGAAGAGTCTTGTCGAAGTCAAGAAAAGAACCTAAGGGAGTAATTTAAACAAAGCGCAGTGCCGTGCCATAAGATAATCTGCAATCTCGATCGCGGGAACACTGCTCTACAATTAGCCTCTCATGAAACTGCGCCAATCTTTATTACCGACAAAGACCGCCTGAAAGAATGGAAGTCAAAAGCATTACATGGAAGGTTTTTTCACCAGCTTCAGCAGACTGAAATAGATAAATCTTTGTCTGTTAGCTGGCTGGTAGGAGGAAGTCTGTTCCCTGAGACTGAAGGTTTTTTAACTGCAATCCAGGACCAGGTCATAGCTACCAGATCTTACTGGCGACACGTCTTGAAGCAACAGAATGTATCGGATAAATGTAGGCTCTGTGCAAGCACATTTGAATATATCCAACACATAACTGGAGGCTGCGGAGCTCTTGCAGGTACAGAATACCTAAAAAGACATGACGATGTTGCCAAAGTCTATCACCAGACGATTGGTCTAAAATTAAATTATTAAACGACTCGATGCTCTACTATAAATATTGCCCTAAAGGTATTTGCCAGAAAGATGGCTTAAAATTATATTGGAATCAATCGTTTATAACAGACCATCTCGTGATCCACAACAGACCTGATATTGTGTTAATTGACGGCAATAGTAAGGCGGCTGAAATTATAGATATTGCTGTGCCAAATGACGGAAACATTAACTCAGTCTGTGCAGAAAAAATTCGGAAATATCAAGGTCTAGCAGCTGAGTTAAGAAGTTTGTATAAACTTAATAAAGTAACCGTTAAGGGCATTGTGATCTCAAGCAATGGCCTGATACCGGTGTCTACTGTGGAAGCTACTGACAGGCTGGGCCTCCCAACTCATGTAATAAAGGAATCTCAGAAAGTGGTTCTGCTGAATACTGCCAGAATTGTAAGAAGCTTTCTCAACATTCAATAGAAATTAAAATTGAACATACCTGAGGTGGTTGGAGTTGATTCTCCCCCTCTCAAGTAAACAAAAAAAAACCTTTTGTAAAAGTGTTGACACATAAAATAATAATACTTTATTTATTCTAGCACAAGTCCCTTTAGAATAATACAGGAAGACAGAAATGTGGGCTAAGGAGCCTCAGAGATACATAAATAAAAATATAGAGTAATTGAACAGTCTTGGTGTATATACACATATACATATAAGTTGCTTTCTAATTTTGATCAGTTGATAATAAAAAAATAGATAAAAAAAAATGGAGTAAAAATAATGAAGAACGAACTAATAATTTATGTACATATTTACAGTAGTTTCTATTATAAAAAATGATTGAACAGGCGGGATTTAAAGGTAGGAAGGGTATTGGATTGACGGATGTGGGAAGGGATGGAGTTCCATAGAGATGAGGATCGGATAATGAACGATTTGTGGAAAGCAGCGGTTCGGTGGGCCCTTATGTATAAATCAGAAGACCGGGAATGAACAGAGGATTTGAATTGAAGGAGCTTGGAGATGTATGAGGGACGGTGGAATTGGATGACTTGAAAGAGGAAGGATGCCAGGAAATACTTACGACGGTAGGAAGGATAAAGCCACTTTAACTCCGCATAAAAATGGGAAACAGAGGCGTCCCTTGGGATCCCAAAGATGAATCGTACAAAGCAATTTATCAAACGTTTTAGTATCGCCTCGAGATCCCAAGAGAGGCCCCATATACCGCACAGCAATAGTCAAAGTGGGAAAAAAATTAAGGAAGTGACTAGGAGCCTACAGGTTTCAAAAGGAAATAGGTGACGGGAATAATTTAGACGTTTTAGGGTGGAAATGGTACGGCGGAAAATATTGGATATATGATTTTTCCACGAAAGCGTTTGGTCAATGGTTATTCCAAGATTTACATAGATTCGATAAATCATATAAATTCATAAAATTTATATAAAGAAAACTCACTATAATGTAATTTCCAGAAGTGCAAGGGGGATTTCCATTAAGACTGAAGTTAGTAAATGAAACTTTAATGGTTCGGCTAGGTTTTACTGTAATGTTCCATTGGCATTTAGAATACGGTCCCTCTGAGAGTACACCATTAGGCCCTGTTACTTCTCCTCCACAATCTGCAACAGTTGATTAGCTGAACAAAGTGAATAGTTACAACCAAAATTAACAACTAAAATTATAGTCATTATTGATGTTTTTAGAATTAGATGAAGTAGTTATATCTTTGACTTTAAACTGTAGAAACACGGCTTTGATTTCAGAAGTTTCTTATTTGATTTCATTATGAATGGGCTAGATTTAAAATTTAAAATACTTGACCTATTTTTTGAATAAGCTACTACTTTGGCCAAAAATAAGAAAATCACCAAGTATAAATTTCAATATTCCTACGTACTACATGTTATTAACATTTTTATGTAGGTAATCCTCGAATTTGTTAGACCATTTGGGTAATAGCTAACAATTTCCCAGATTGATTAATATTTATCTGAAATTATAAATTGCCACTTTCCAGGCCTAGGAGTTGGGGCAATATTCATTTCTCTTTCTTTGAGCCTACTATTTTGTTATACAATAGAATAATATAGTTAGTATACCTTATATAACATATAAAATATATCTCTCTAGCTTGTTGTCTATATGTACTCTATACTAATATATAAATCAGGAGAATTTTTTTGTTTAAACATGTTACTTTCTGGATTTACCAGTCCGAATTGAAACAATCTTTTTGCTGAAGGCTTTAGAATAAATAACCACTACCCTTAGGAATGGAGCAGTAACTATAAACACCACTAAATCTAGAAAATTGTTAGCAATTCAGAGCAAGCTTGCATAGCTTCCTGTAATAATCATTTGCAATCACTATAAATAAAGATTAGGGGCAATCTCTTAAACAGATTTCCAACAGCATAATGTTCCCTTATCATTAGTCAAGATTAGAAGGAAGAAATAACCACATCCATTCCATAGCAACACCTAGCAGCATACCAGACTTCGAATGTCCTTGGCTCTGTTCTAGTTTCTTGCTACGTTTTAATGTTTAGGACGTTAAAAAAATTAAGCAGAAATAAATCACAGCAATAATGCAGTTAAATATAATTCCAAAATGAAGTAGGAAAAAAAAACTAATAAGGTTATCACATTCCACTTAAGAGACACCAGAACATCAACAAATTACCTTACAGGTTGTAGAGAAAACCAGTATACACTTAAATCACAGTGAGAAAAACTGAAAATATTTTTTTTTTAAATATTACTAAAGTACTGGAATGCTTCTTTAAATATTTAAAAAAATAGTGTGTTAATAAAAAGCCACCAAAATAAGACGCTTTCTGTTGTCAAAATAAACAGTTTTTTTTATATTTATTGATAATGTTTTCATTCAGTGTATGAAAAAGACATTTATAATCCAAATTCAAAGAAGGTTCAGCTAATAATATAGTAATGGTACACACATTAAAAAGGTTTATGTTGTTATTTACTTCTATGGCTTTGAAAATGGGACATTTTTTTTTTATATTGATATATATTTATGGTGTCTGCCATGTTTTTTTGGCTTCCAAGTAAAATTCAAAGTCAGTAAATGGTCTATCTAAAAACAATCATTTTTCAAATCGGATTGATGATTTCTGAGATTATCACATTCAAACCAACAAACTTTACAGCCTTATATAAGTGTATGTACATCAGAAATAGGTAAATGTTACTCTGAGTACTGACAACAAGTATTTTACTAAAATATTGACCTTTTTCAAGTACCAAAAAATTTAATTACTAATTCAGTTAATGTCAAACAATTAACTGAATTAGTGATTGGATTCCCATCAGTGATTCAATTTGAGTAAAGTACTTGGTACTCAGTATTCAAAGTAGCATTTGCCAGATTTATACATATATATAGTAATGAATGTTTATTATCAAGAATGCACATTCAAAAACACGTTAGTTGGAAGTAGTGGCGGGAAGGACACTAACCCCACTCCCTCCCATCACCCAGAGTGGATGCATAGTAGTCTGTCAGTTCCAGAAATTTTTTGGGGTAACATCTTTCCAGTGATTAGAAAAGTATAGACTGAATGAAGACTACCTTCAGTTGATGGAGCAGCCTATGTTTAGAGCTACCATAAAGACAGTCCAATTAATAATAATACACTGACAGGCAAAAAATTCCACCGACTTGATTTTTTCAAGTTTTCATCTAAAAATATTTCTGCTTTGGATTGGTCTATTGTTTTTAATGAATAAATAGGTAATCTTTTTGTTTGTTTTCAATTAGGAATGTTAATGTAGAGGACAATAACACGTGAATCCTTAATTAAATGAAATGATTCTAGATTCCAATGTTTACTTTCTATGGAATCAAAAGGTTTATTCAGTATCATTAGTTGAGTGCCGTTTCTTGCAGCACATTTCTTAGTCTCCGGCTTTTAATTTTTTCAATATTAAGTTTAAAAATGCCTCTTAGTGCTGAGGATGTTGCGCGTGATGTGGCACTTATTGATGATGGACGTTCCATTTGATATACAGCTAATGTCATCGGAGTTTCATATAAAACTTTACGAGACACCGTCAAGTGTTTTCGGGAAACTGGTTCTTACAATAGAAGGCCCGGTTCTGGACGGCCTAGGGTAACAGAATGACACGGGATGACCGGTTTTTGACTTTGAGAATTTTACGAAACCGGCACCTTACCGTTGTTCAAGCGATTCATCAGCTCGAAGAAGTTCGAGGTGTGCAAATTTCTGAACGTACCGCTCGGAGAAGATTAAATGAGTATGGATTAATGGCTTTTCATCCAGTAGGAGGACCAGATTCGACCAGAACTCACAGAGTAACACAGCTGGCTTTTGCTCGAGAACACAGCCATTGGACTATGGATGGATGGAGTGCTGTACTATTTACAGATGACTCAAAATTCGCTCTTCGATCTCCAGACGGGCGTGAAAGGGTGTGGAGAAGAAGAAACGAAAGATATGCAGCCTGTAATTTTTCCCAGAGCCAACATTTCTACGTGGTTCCTTAATGGTGTGGACTGGGATTTCAATGGAGTGCCGCACAGAATTGGTTGTTGTTCGTGGAGGGTCTTTGACGGCCATTCACTATGTAGATGAGATTTTGGAACCTCATGTGTTGCCTATCCTCAATGAAATCGGCGATCGTTCTATTCTAATGCACGATAATGCACGCCCACATGTCGCCCGCATAGTGCAGACGTTCCTTCAACAGAACAATATTGAGGTTTTAGCCTGGCCACCACGTTCTCCAGATTTGAACCCCATTGAGCATTTATGGGAAAACCTCGGAAGAAGAATAAGAGCGTGTGCAACACTTCCTGATACAATACAGGAACTTGAAAGGGCTCTTCGGGAGGAATGGACTATCCTCCAGCAAAGGGACATTTCTCGACTGGTGGAAAGTATGCCGAGGCGTCTTCAAGAAGTAGTGAAGGCAAGAGGAGGAAACATGCGCTACTAAACGATGATGTAATTAATTTCTTTTAGAATAATAATGGTTCGTTTTTCAATTTGTTTTTCTCTAATTTTTCTTACCCAATCACATTTTGATTATTAAAGGTAAAAAAGATTATAAAATTCCATAAATACTAAGTATTATCTACAAATACCATGTATTATATACAAATACAACTTTTTTTACAAGTGGATAAAATATTTTTGGATGAAAAAATCAAGTGGGTGGAATTTTTTGCATGCCAGTGTAATAATGAAGGCTTAGTGAACCCGAAGGTTCGATGCTGACACCACCAAACGCTTATTACACACCTCTCTCCACCGTTAGCCGTCCAGACCTAGTTCCTTAAGATCGGCTTCCCATCTTCCCACAGTCCAATTAAACAGTACATTATAAATTATTTTATAGTAAGATTATGACCTTAAAATTTATCTTATTTTGTTCATAAATATTTTATTTACTAAATAGAATATTAAGTGTATCAATGTCGTTTATTTGATCCTAAGCATTCACAGTCCAGAAACCAGTTAAGCCCTCAGTGTCCATTAAATTTATGATAACAAATAAAAATTCTAATTCAAAATTAACTATTCAATTGATATTTTAAACAATGTCAGAACATAAATTTTAATAATTTTGTATTCATTAATTTAATAATATCAGATATATATATATATATATATATATATATATATATATATTTCTATTATTTTTGTAAAAATTTGGTTTGTTTGAGACTTTTTTCATACCACTGTATACGACTAATCTATATATATTGTAATGTCAACATTACATGGCATTTAAATAGTGGCGCGAAAGTGATAAAAACACGAACTACGGGAAGCAAGTGGTGGGGGAAGCAAACCTCATGTAACTCAGACTGCGACGGGCCGCCAAAGGAGAAGGTGCTAGCGGCCAAGAGAGAAGATTTTGAGCCGCCAAGAGAAAATGTGACAAGCTGTCAAGAGAGAAGGTACTAGCCAGCAAGTTGAGAAAATAGAAAGAGCCACAAAGTTTAGATTGGGAAAATCAAGGTTTTTGAATGTATAACTTCTTAATGTATGTATCTCGTTTCTTTATATGTATTTAGTAATTAGTAAATTATAGTTATTAAATGTTGAATGAGTGTTCAGTTGTCAGAACCCAACCTGAGATTTATGTTATATGTGTTGAAATAAATAATATATTGAAAAAGTAAACTCGTTGTTTTGATTTATGTTGACAAAGGGAACGTCACAACATGGCGGCCCCCTAGCGTGGCTTAAGGAAACGTTACAATATATATATATATATATATAGTCTCAAACAAACCAAATTTTTACAAAAATAATAGATAGTGTTCTTTTCTTCTTAATTATAAACTGATTTAACCATGCAGAGACATTGTAGATGAAATATATATTTAAATTAGCATTATTTTCTATTAACAATAAGCCAAAGGACCAACCCATTGTGTTGATGTTTTTCGTCCTCTGAATAATACTACCTTTGTTCATATTTTACTACTTTGTTATCCACTTCAGTCTTTATTCTTTATGGTTAACATAAAGAGCCATTTGTATAAAATCTAGAATGCTGAGTGTATTTTCAGAATTTTTTTTAATATTGGAAGCTTTTTTTTGGTAATTTAATTTAACATTTCATA